CTTTATCATACAGAAAGGGTGAGTACTCTTCTTCGTGGAGCACTTGTGACTTGAGCCGCCCCTTGAATCCCTGTGTATTGTCCTGAAGGCGAAGTGCATTGGTCTGTTCCACGGTCCTTCCGTATAGAGGCATGAGGTCAATCTGATGGGTTCCTTCGTACTTTTCGTAGGCCGGTGTGCCCGTCTCTGGATTAAAACCAGTGGCAATAATGGATTCCACCACGTACTGCGCAAAGGTGGCAAACATCATGGTGCTGCGGGATGCCTCTTTGCGCTGTCCATTCTTAGTGCGAAACAACTGCTCCGTCACATCTTCCATGGGTGGCAGACTCTCCACCCACTCGGGATCGGCAGGAGGAAGATGACGGCTGTAGTAGGACTTGTCGGTCAGAGAATCCCAGGAAGCGTAGGGTGCCTTGCACGAAAGACCATGTGGACGATGATTGCCCAACGAACAAAAGTAATCCGTCCCATCGCGATTGTATGCCGTGGCAAGTTCCAGCAGCGCTGCGGCTTCTTCCATTGTCAAGTCATTGTTGTCCTCATCGTTGGACTGCACCGACTGGATCGTGGCCAATAGTACTGGGAGAACCAAGCATAGAGCAGATCGAAAGAATTTCATTTTTTCTTCTTCCAGTTGTGTGAGAATTGAGTGAGATTTGTGGGCGGACTTGTTTGTAGGATTGCAAACTCCTCTACGGTATGAAGGATTGCAATGGTTAGTTTGGTGGGACGGTTAGCTGTGCGGTTTGACAGCGTGGATGATCGTTCCTTTCCATTCCAATGCATTTTTGACTGGAATGTACGTAAATTTTTCTGGGTAAAGTGGAAGAGACTTCACGGACACCCGCTGACTAAATAATGCAAAGCTGGAAAGACTGCCTCAAGATTGTGCCGAATTCCGAAACTGCACAAGTGAGGGTAGTTGGGAACATTTTGAAGTTAAATTTACAATATGTATACCCCAACGACCTGCGCAATTCAAAGCTTTGTCCACAAGGTACGCTTTGGAAGTTTACTACATGTACGATGGTACCAGCAGCTGTGTCAGGTACGGTACAGTCAACGCTCGCTTATATTTATAATCTTGTATTTATTCGCTCTATAATATTTAAGAATACTCCAGTTCCCACATTTTTAACTCTAACCCTATTTTAGTACTAGAGCACGTACAATTCTACGGGAATAGTTAGGGTTAGGGATAAAATCAATATTTATTCTCGCTGTTATATTTACTGAATTCCTGAATCCCCCCCAGTATTTATACCTGAATGTTGACTGTACTCACGTCCAAAAATGTTGCAGAATGCGAGTGGCTCAGTCGGAACGTCGGAACCATTCATCGTGAACACGTACGTGAACACCCCAAGCCCCAAGTGCCATCGTACCTCCCTACTAGCTAGTTAGTGCTAGCTAGTGCAGGTGTTGAGGTATTAGTCTATGAATGTGGTAAAAGTCGAGGTGTTGAGGTACATATTATTGAAGCTAGTCTTCATTACCCCAATGACCTCAACACGGTAATTTTTACTTTCAGCCAAGGTAACCAAGCCTGTGGAGTGTGGAGACAATCGAAACGAGATCAGGCAGTCTCCCAGAGGGGGGAAGCGGAATCTGGGGCCAACATGACATGAGCTCTCAGACCGATGAAGTAGATCATCCAACTGACGCTACCGTACTACTAACATGGTTCCCTAGCCCTTTGGAATGCATCAAATAATGCCCAAGCCCACTCGGAATTTCTCCTCCTATAAGGGCTGATTTTGTTGGGACGAGCAACATCCAGTCCGATTGCGAAACATGGCCAAGTTCCCCTGCTGCGTGGCCGATGAGTTTCTGACTTCCTGTACTTACATTGTGCTATTATTAGACCCTTGTTGCCCTGGAGTTGGTCCAGGCATTGGCCCAGGAGGGGACAGATGTGGGGGCAGGCGATGGGAGTTATACTTATTTGTGGTGCTGTGCATGCAAGACCGCAGAGCCGGAAACACACTCTGTCTGACCTATCACAGTACTCTTTTTGGTTTTTTCTCACGTTAGCAAATTGGATCAGGCCATCCGCTCGCTCCCCCGTAGGGAAGGATCCAGACCAAGGACTACCAGTAGAATCGAATGGATTCATTATGCAGTGTACCAGTCCACTCGATTGAGCTTGTATGTGACCATGAATTAATTCTTGATCCGAGTGTGAGTTGTTCCTCGGACTTCTACTATAGCCAGAGCAAACTGTTGCAGCAACTATGGTAGAATGTGTTGCCGGTTTACGAGGGGGGGAAGTCAAGCACGCCACTTTGCACGAACTCGGTTTGGGTTTTGGTAACTATAAGGAACCCCTGTTCTACGAGTGTTAACCAGCCGGAGACTAAACAAGGTATAATATGATGTCCGAGCAATTGGCACCATGGATACCGTAATCATCTGTAAAAAGCAAAGAATTCTTGTTGCCAAGCTGTGACTATCGATTTTTTTGGTGGTGTGCGTCTTGGCAATTTTCGAGGAGTCCAACGAGGAGAGGGCACGCTTTTTAGCAGTAGCCGGTTGGTGCTGTCATGATTATTGATAATGTGGGTTTCTGCGTGCCCAACATTTTAAGCCCCTGTCAATTGTTAGATGATAGGAAACCCACACACCTGAGGCAAGTCAGATGCCTCTGCCGCCATGCCCTCCTCCCAATGGAGCAGCGTCCGGTAGAGACCAACAGTTCCAAACATGTATTAGCTAGCTGGTTGCTTCAACATGTTTTCTTCCTCCATAGTTAGCGGCTTTGTTAACCACGTAGCCAAAGCTTGTACCCTACCGTAGTAAGCTACTTCTCTTCATCTCCAAATCTAAAGGAGTCATGTCATCACCCCTCCATTAGATAGATGGTGATGCCTTTGTCCAACCAAAGATGACTGCAGCACAAAAAAACCGTGCACCTAGCTGTTTACCTACCGTATCATAGAAAAATCCAATATAGAATCACCGAGTTGTAGAATATCTTCAGTGAGATGTAGAATTGGTGATATCAGAAGATCCATCTGCCCCAACCAAGATGTCAATGGTGATTTCGTAGAAGGCCTCCCCAGCCAGCAAAGAATAGAACACTGATTGGTTGGTGGCTGTCAGAGTAATCCATCCGGGGATGTTGACACCATCACCCCAACTGTCAGACACAACCAGTCTGTAGGTTGTGTCAGCGTTCACTGCGAAGAGAGAGTAGTAAAGATAATCTTTATACTCCAGTGGACCAGCTGATTCCAATGTGTCCCAAACACCAGTCACATTGGTTTCCTTCTGCCAAACCCATGATGTTTCATCTGGATAATCATCAGTTTGGATATTGAGCATGACATCAGCACCTCTGTTTGGAAATCGTCCAGGCCAATCCGGTGGATCTTCTATGAGGTCAGAACAGGTGGAAACAGGAGGAGTTTCATTTAGGGCACAATCACACCTTAGAAAAGAGCAGAGATGCTCTGGGACAGTTCCAGTTCTCAGGAACTGGTTCCCATGTAGTCTCAGCCCCATTGACGCATCCAGTTGGCTGGGCAGTGTTCCTGTCAGGTTATTGTTGTGAAGACGCAGAGATGTCAAAGATGTCATCATATCAACTTCAGTTGGGATTGTGGCGGTGAACTGATTGTCAGCGAGGTAAAGCTCTTGCAACGATGTCAGGAGCCAGAACTCCATGGGAACTGGGCCAGTCAACTGGTTGCCATTCAACCACAGCATGTCTAAAGCAGTAAATGCACCAAACTCCGAAGGAACTTGACTGGACAACTGATTATTTGATAAGGCAAGCCATTCCAATGATGAAGTCAGGAGCCCAAGTTCAGACGGAATGGTCCCCATCATTCGATTTTCATTGAACATCAGTACAGTCAAAGCCGTCAAAAGGCCAAGCTCGGAAGGGACTTGACCGGTGAGCTGATTTTGATTGAGCCGTAACCAAGTCAAAGCAGTCAACTTTGCAAGCTCAGAAGGAACTGGACCAGTCATCGAATTCTCATCAATCCAAAGTCGTTCCAACGTGGTCAGGAGCCCAAGCTCTGAAGAAATCGGACCAGACAACTGATTCTCAGAAAGGGAAAGCTCTTTCAATGTGGCCAGGAGCCCAAGCTCCGAAGGAAATGGACCGGTAAACTGATTCTTATATATCTTGAGCTCTTCCAATGAGGTCAGGAGCCCAAGCTCGGAAAAAATCGGACCAGACAACTGATTGTCACCAAGCTGAAGAGTATCCAATGAGGTCAGGAGCCCAAGTTCAGAAGGAATTTGATGGGTCAAGCGATTTTCGCTCATCTCCAGGCTGTTCAAAGCTGTCAAAAGGCCAAGCTCGGAAGGGACTTGACCGGTGAGCATATTTCCATTCAACCATAACTCAGTCAAAGCAGTCATTGTGGAAATTTCAGAGGGAATTTTGCCAGTGATCTGATTTTCCTCTATAGTCAAATGTGTCAATCCAGTCATCTCGTAAAATTCTGTTGGTAACAGAGATGAAAGTGTTCCAGCAATATCATTGTCATCAAGAGACAAACGAGACAAGGAAGTCAAGAGCGCAATCTCAGGTGGCAGAAATGGGGGAAGACCAGAGAGCTGCAGGTGTTGCAGATCCAGAGATGTGAATTGTCCTTGGCTGTTGCAAGGAGGTGTAGAGTTTTGCCATTCATAATATTTTCCATCATAAAAAAAAAATTCAAATCCACTTGAGAACCAGTCGCACTCTTCGACTGTGTCATCCATCCATCCATAACCCTTTATTAAAGGATTCCAGCTTTCTCCTTCAAAAGCATAGAAAAATGTAGCAAGGGCAAAGAGCTGTGTCTTTCTCCAATCTGAAAGGAATGTGATGTTCTGATGATTGGCCAGCCATTGCCATCCTCTCCACTGTGGGGTCTCACTGCCATTGTTGATGCTGGCAAGAGTATAGTCAGGGAGACTATCGAATAGCAAGTCTAGATCCCCAGTGGGGGCAGATGATGGTACTCCAGAAGGAGTCATGGACCCATAAACCGTCGGAGCATCTGTTGATAGGTACACAATCACCTCTGGCTCCTTCTTTTGGGTTCCTGCCACAGCTCCCACAGTGATTGCTGCCACAACTAACATCATGACAAGGAAGAGTATAAACATCAGCCTCTGTTTCTTCCTCTTTCGTTCTCTCTGCTGGACATGCTGTAGATCGACTGGATCTGCAGCGGGCCTAGTTTGTTCCTCTTCTGGATCTTCTAGAACAAGATCTGCCACTGCCAAATGTTGGTCATTTGTTGATGGAATGTTGTGGTTGGTGCTGCTGCTGGGTGGTCCCGCATCATGTGGTTCAGCCAGAGCAGAGGAATCGTCGGGATCACCCATCTGCACTAACGATTCACCCTGACCAGTGGCACTGGCACCAACTAGGGAATATTGTAGAGTAGTTGCACGCTGCAAGGCTTCTCCCGGTAAACCCATGTAGGCCCCTGGTCTCGACGGCTGATGTTGTTGCCTGTGCAGAGGTTCTACTGCGAGTTCTGCACTTTGCCAGCTTAGATCATTTCCAGTTTCAATTTTTTCCATTTTGGCAGCCTCGTTGATTTCGGTTGCCATTTGCAGGAGGTCCATATTATATCTTGCAGCGCCTCTGTGTTCTTCTTCCGTAAAATGATCGTCCTCTTCCAACTTTTTTTGTGCTGTTGCCGATCCTTTGACAGGCATACCCACAGCATGTGTCTGTCCCTTTGGGAAAAACGATAGCTGGTGGCTTTGTGGAGTGTCAGAGATCCAAGCTTCATTGCCAGTAGCAAGTGTCGCCATGGCAAAATCTGTAGTATAGTTGGTAGTGCCTCTATTATTGTCACGGAAGTTGTTTTCTGCCTTCTCTTTGGAACTACTTCCTTGGGCATGATTGGCAGCATATTTTTCCATTTTGGCAGCTTCATTGATTTCAACTGCCAACTGCATGCATGAGGTGGTTGCTAGTACCAGCAGTGCTTGGTTTTTCTTGACGGATATCTTCTTGGTCATTGAGATGCTTGGCGAGCGCCAAGCTGGTGTGATCTGCCGCAATTTTCAGGATTTCTTCTTGGTCATCTTGTTGTTGTTTGGGTTTCCCTCTTTTTGGCAGCTGTGGATTTGCCCCCACATTATTGTGGCTGGGACGAGGCAAGGAAGAAGGAAATGGCTTCTTCTTGGTGACTATTTTATTGACAGCTTCTTCGTCTTTGAACGCTCTTGCACTGGCGGTATCTTCATCCCTTTTCCATTGTGCAGCTTCTGCCTCGGCTCTTTTCATCAGAGTATCTCTGATGACAGGGTCGAGTGACAGTCCTTCTGATGCATTCCCGAAATCTTTGCCAAGGGAACGATTTCCGTCCCGAGAGTGACCATCTTCCTTATCGGTATTACAACCAGTGCTCTTTCCCTCTTTCATCCTGATAATGATCGATTCAATGAGATATATATTGCTAGCTAGTAATCGTCTGTCCAGTGGAGTTACAGTCAAGTCGATCGGTTGTATCGCTCATGCTGTGGCAACTTACCCAAATAGAATTTGCCGCGATTCTATTCAGGATTGCAACCTCTCGGGCTCGTCGCGTTTTGGAAATAAAGGGGACTTCAAAGCTCCTTGATTTGATTTAAGTGGCAGTATTTAAGGTTAAGGCAAACATCGTACAGTACCGAGATTCGATTCGATTCTTCATTCGATTCTTCATCGTCGGTGATTGATACCTTGCACGGTACCAGTACTAGCTAGCTAGAGTACCGTAGTGTACAACCCGTACTAGTACCGGTACCGGTATTCGTGAGGTCACCTCACGATTTAAACATAGAAGGGGGTCTGGGGGTGGCTCGTGCAATTTACTTTGGCTCTTTTGAATAGGTGCAAAGAGTACAAAAGCTGATTCTGCAATTAAGAGGCCTTCTTGAAGTGCTTTTGGTGTGTTAAAGCATGCACTAGTAATTAGTAAGGATTGGTTCAAAGGAAATCCTTTCACGTACTTTAAACCATCACTTCTGGTTATGGTTTGAAGTGTACCAAGAGGGCTAGATGATTTAACACCAGATGCATAAAAAGCTAGTAAGACATTTACAAAACTTCAATGAATTCCTAGGAATGTCCTCCAGAGAATTACAGTGGAATCTAGGATTATTTGGCAAGCCGGTTGCCGGTTGTGCATGTACAGTTTTAGAGGATTTGGCTAAGTGTAGCAATTTGGTGTAGAATATACCAATGAACCGCTCCAAGCTGGGACAACTGCTGCAGGCTGGGAACAGCTACAAGCTTAGACAACAGCTACAGCTATAGGCTGGGACAACCGCTTCAGGCTGGGACAGCCACTACAGGCTGGGACAACCACTACAGGCTGGGACAACAGCTACAGGCTGGGAAAACAGCTAAAGGCTGGGACAACAGCTACAACAGCTATAGCTCCAGGCTAGGATAACCGCTTCACGCTGGGACAACAGCTCCAGGCTGGGGCAACAGCTAAAGGCTGGGACAACAGCTACAAGCTGGGACAACAGCTATAGCTCCAGGCTAGGATAACCGCGTTACACTGGGACAATCACTACAGGCTGGGACAACAGCTCCAGGCTGGGATACAAGCTGGGACAACAGCACAGCTACAGGCTGGGATAACAGCTACAGGCTGGGAGGACAGCTCCCACCTGTCACCCTGCGCGTACCACACCAGAGAGGTGCTGGCCCTCATTTTTTGCCAAGTTGGACTTCCTGTTGCTAAATGAGAGTTATAATTGTCAGTGCATTCTCGAATCAAGCAGTGGGCATTGTGACAAATAACTTTCTTCCAGCCGATTCTTGACCACAGGATTGATTCCATCGGGCAGTTGACTGCTGTATCTCTTTGCGTATGAAGCCATTTGCTGGAAGCGCCATTGGTACGACTCCCAGCCGTTTTGTCATGATCACGGAGCATGACAGGCGGTACTTCGTTCCTTGGTGCTTTTTATGCTGAGAATTTTGACGGTGGCGACGCTTTGGGAGATCATGGTTTTCATGCTTCTGGCGAACCTTATTGGTTTGGTCTCTTCTTGTACTGAACTCACTGGGAATGGTATTGGCTCCTATGGGCTCGTTGGGTTGGCTGAGTGGTATTGTGAACTACTGATTCAGCTCTGATTCTATTTTATGCACGAGTTTGTGCTTGGTGCTTTTTCAAGCTGAGAATTTTGACGTTGGCGACACTTTGGGAGACGGTGTTGATGCTTCTGGCGAACCTTCTTGTGTTTCTTGGATGCCATTATTTCTGGTCTCGGCTCATAATAAAATTCACTGGGAATTGGAATAGCTGGCTGGTATTGTGAACTGATTCTATTTTATGCTTGAGCTTGTCTACCAACCAATGACAATGACGACGCCAGCCTTCTATGGGCGGGAAGCTCGAGCCAGCTGATGCTCTTTGCTTGTTGGCCTGTTGTGCTTTTTGAAAAAAGCATTGCCAGCCAGTAAAGCACTTGTGGTGAAGCATTGCCAGTAAAGCACTCGTGATGGGACACTCGTGATGGCCAGCGGTGTGTGAAAAGATCCAGTGTCTGGCCTCAGACCGAACCTTCCTGCCCTAATCTTTTTAGTGCCAGGATCTTGGCGGCAGTCGGCAACCGCAATTGCCTTCCACAATGTATCCAAAACAAAAGGGTCTCCTCCTTCTTCCATGGCAAGGGGAGGGAGGCTGTCTGCATTAAACTCCTTAGAAGAACTTACATAAGATCAGCACAGTCCTTTTTAAATATACCCATGATAAAGAGAACGCCATCAGCCAATAATCGAAGCAGACGAAGGAAGCTCAGCCATGCTTTGATCCTCTTGATTGGTATCATTGCCTCTGCCTTTCTCGAACTGCCAGCTGTCGCACAAGAGCAGTGCATTTCTCAGGATGACAAGGAATGCAAATCCTCCAAAGAATCCCCTAATAAGAAGGTGAATGATTTGGTTCAATCTTGGTTCAAGAGTAGAAGAGAAGGTCTGCAATTCCTGCAGGACAAGGTTTTCGGACAAGGAGGTGGCGACGATAAGGTCAATGGTGCTCAGCAGCAGAAGAAACACATGGAAGGTGGCCCTTTCTCGCATTTGTGGAACACCCGATCCTCCCGTCAAAAGCAACAAGAAACGGCCGATCAGGAATCCAAAAAACACGAACAAGAAGCCGAGCATTTTCTGGGGGGTGTAGCGTCACTACTGAATGCCGAAAGTACCACCGATGCCTTTTTAAACTTGGTAAGTGGATCCGATGACAATGAACGAAGTCAACGGACATGGATCGAAGTCATCAAGATTTTTAGGGAGCATATCAAAGAAGTCAAAGAGCAAGTGGATCGGGCGTTTGGAGACCTGGGATGGAATCCAGTGGAGCACTTTAGACCCGTGTCGGCATTTTATCTGTTGAGAGAAGAGGAAGCCAGCAAAGGTCCCGTCTGGAAGAGGCGGCGTCATCGATTCTATCCCAAACTGAAAGACGTGGAAGATCTCAAGGAGTTTCATAATGCATTGTATTTGAGTGAGTTGAGTTACGTACACACGGTCCCTGCCGTAGAAGAAGGACTCCGGTTGTTTCAGAACGATAGTTGGGCTCTTCTCTATGCCACCTGTGACTCCTTGCCACATGAGCCGGCACATTTCATTGCCATTCGAAAGACGGCGTCTCCGATTGCAACCACTGGTTTTGCGGATCGCCTCAAGGGCATTGAAAGCATCTTGCCATGGGAAGCGAAGAAGAAGTCGGATGACTCTACTAATAAAAACCGACAATTCTCCTCAGACGAAGATACTTTGGAATTGATCCTGGTGGTGAGGGGCACAAAGGAGCTTGGAGACATTATTTCGGATGTTTCGTTTGAAGCTGTGGACTATCGAGAAGGCAAGGCTCATGGAGGATTTCTGCAAGCTGGAAAGTTCTTGGTGGATACGCATGTCGAGAGCTTTCGTGAACTCTTAAAGTTATCCGGGAGAAAACTCATGAGGCTTACCATACTCGGGCATAGTCTCGGTGGTGGAGCGGTAAGTACTGTACATGGATGATCCCAGGCTGCTGCTGTGAAGTTTGCAGTGCTTGGCATACTCATCTCAAGTTCTCTGCTGCTGCTGCTGCAAGGCCGCCATTGCTGCCATTGAATTCAACGACTACGATTTCATTGAAGCCTCTGCCATTGGTTTCGGGTCCCCCGGTACCCTTTCCCCGGAACTTTCGGCGGCATACCAGGATATCATCACAACAATTGTCTCGGATGCAGACGTTGTTCCTAGAATTGGTGTTACGAGTATCATTCACCTGCATTTGCGCCTCATGGCTCACTCGCCTGGTCCTTCACTCTGGGAGGATGTTTCCGAGTTTGTAGAAGATCTACGAACCAAGCTACCCAGCAAAGTGGTGGACGTTTTGCTGGGCGGCAAAGAAAAACTAAGCAACAAACTGGAGGAAATGATTGGACCCAAAAAGTACCCGCATGTGGAGGCATTGGAGGAATTCTTGAAGAGCCAGGAGACCAACAGCAGTCAGATCGGCTGCTGTGAACCACCGGGTACTTGTATCCACTTTTTTCGTGACGGGATCTCCTATTCGGCTGCGTTCACGCCCTGTTCGTACTTTTCTGAGGTGGAATTCGTTTCAACCATGATTGATGATCATATGGTGCGTGCCGGATATCATCGTGCTTTGGTCACGCTAGCTCGGGATCTGCTGGACGACCTCGATTTTCGGTTCGAACACCAAGTGTTGCCGGACACTTCATAGGACAGACGTGACCACGCTGTCACCCCACAATTCAGTACGCACAGGCAGACAAGTCCCAAGGAAATAGAACGCAAGAGGCAGACGGGAAAAAACAATACAGGCTGCCTGTAGCAAAAGCATAATATAGAATCTCTAAAAATCGTGTGTTTATGCATTCATGAATGATCCTGGATGATACGGGCGCTACTTACATGCCTACGAGGACGCGGCTTCCCCCTCCAGCTGTTCCTCGTCTTCGGCCAAACTCACATTCATAAACCGAAACGTCTTGCCGCAAAAGAGTCCCTTATCACTGAGCTTGAGTTGTGGAATGACCAATAGAGCCATGAACGAGAGTGTCATGTAAGGTGCCCTCAGTTTGGAACCATTTTCCTTGACCAGTCGGTCTAGCAAAATGTATTCATCGGCAACATCGGGTCCATTCCCAGTACTCATCAAACCCGCCACGGGCAGCGGCAGAACTTGGGCTTGCCCATCTTTCGAAAAGGACAATCCCCCCTTGACATTGATAATGGCATTGACGGCATCAACCAGATCCTGATCGGTGCATCCCACGGCGACAATATTGTGAGAATCATGAGCGACACTGCCCGCAAAGGCTCCCTGTTGCAAGCCAAACCCCTTAATGTATGCCGTGGCAATGGGAGCATTTCGATCGTATCGATTGACATTGACAATTTTGAGCACATCGGGATCATCACCACCCGGCTGCAAATGCTGTTCCGATGTCACCAATTGTCCATCGTGAGCGACAATGACGCGGACTGGTCCGGGGTCATTCCGGGCAATATCGTCGATAGTAATTGGATCGGTACGATCAAAGAAATTGATGGGTTCTGATACAGGAACACTGTCAAAGAGCGGTTCCTTGTGACGTGCTACACATTGACCATTGATCCACGTTTCTTGCACATCAAAGTCTTGCAGATTGTTGACCACAATGAAATCGGCATTGTCTCCCTGTCGCAAGAGTCCCACTGGCAGCTTATAGTGTTCCACGACATTTTTGGATGCCGCTCTCAGTACATCAAATAGATTGTAGCCCAGCTTGACGGCTTCTCGGACATGCCAATCCAAATGCCGTTCCCGCAGCAGATCGGGATGCGTATCGTCGCAACAAAACATGGTCTGTTCGGGATACAACCCCAGAATGGGGTGCAACTCGTCAAAATTGCGAGCCCCGGATCCTTCTCGTATTTGGACCTTGAGTCCGGCGGCAATCTTCTCCTTGGCTTCTGGCAACGTGAAGGATTCATGATCGGTGGTCATTCCGTGTTTGGCGTATTGTTCAATGAGTGGACTCCGAACATTGGGGGCATGTCCATCGACGGGCAGTCCCCGGTCCAGGGCGATTTGAATCTTTTCCAAACAATCAGGATCTTCCGCAATGACGCCGGGCCACTGAGTGTTGTCGAATAAATAAATTATTGTGAGTTGATCTCATACTTATCAGATACAAACCATCTCTTTTGTACAATGCTTGATTTGACTGTAATGAAAAGACTTACATTCATCATTTCTGCCAGGTACACTATTTTCCCCTTGTAATCTGGATGATCAAACAATTCTCTGATATCGTCTGCGGTAATCTCGGCACCGGCAGTTTCAAAGGCCGTTGCTGGAACACAGGAGGGCGCCCCAAAGAAGAAATGAAAGGGCACTTGTGCCGCATTGTCCAACATGAATCGAATGCCTGGCATGCCACAGACATTGGCAATCTCATGAGGATCCGTCACAATGGCGACCGTGCCATGGCTGACGGATAATCTGGCAAATTCGCTGGGTACCAGTAGTGAGGATTCGACGTGCACATGAGAATCACAAAAGCCGGGCAGAATGTATTGGTCCGTGGGAATAGTAGTGTCATCTTCGGATAGTTCCTGGATGGAAGCAATGGTGGTTCCCTTGACATGGACTTGTCCCGGAAATATCCTACGATTGTGAATGTCGACGACCTGACCTTGAATAATGGCATCACTACTAGTACTTATTGGAGGTGTTCGTGATGATGATGTTGACAGTGAGCGAACACCCATTGACTGGACAACAAGCCTCGATTGCCTGCCACTGTTGCTGCTGAGCATTCCCAAGCAACGCCTCAGCGAAGGAACGGTTTGTCGAAGCATTGTCTCTGGCCTTGCTGTTGTTGCTGCTGTGTGAAGAAATTGTGAGCCTCTCTACATGTAAAAGCTCAGCTCTAACGAGGAAGGAAGATCCAGAGCAAGGCTACCATACGTGTCGGTACCGGTACAAGAAGGGAAGGGAAATGTTCTGCTTCAGTCTCATGCAGAGTCTCGGACCAAAGTGGAAGCAACGATGAAACATCGACGAAAGCACGTGCGCCGAAAACACAAAGATCCATCAGTCCCGATAGAACTGGGACCGAACGTCCTGAACGTTCCTATCCCCTTCCTGCCACTGAAAGGAGGCTTCTGGCCACCATAGCAAACTTGCTATCTAGCTAGCGGTAGGTCAACACCAGTAATGCTCATCAGCAACGCTCATTCAGAACTGGCCCGTAACCATGTCCGTTCATTTGGCAACTGCAAAGATTCGGACCTGATAGGTTGATCTGAGAGCCAGCTATCGGCACGGTACCAGAACAAGGTAAGGTGTGCCGCCTAAAATGCACGTGATTGCTATCTTGGCTGGATCAAACACACAAACATCCAACAAAATTCGCAATGGCCCTACATACATGTACCTCCGTTGAGGGCTATGAAACAAATCCCAGGGAGGTGCCCCACAGGGATGCAGTAGTAGGTACTGGTACCGTACCTGGTACACAGTGAACCCAAAAAAGTACATGTACATAGTACAAGCGAAGCCAGCCGGGGCCAGGAACAGAGAAAGTGGGGTTTAGAGGGGTAGATTATCCAGGAAGCCGTAAAGGTAGCTTCTCCCGCCTCGGCCTTCAGCCCGCATTTTCCAGCCGCGGAGACACCCGTCTCTTCTCTTGCGTTGCACCTCTTTTTATCGCCCCCCTCGTGCCTTCGTCTGTTCGAGACCTCGGAGTCTATTGTTCCTGTCATTGCACCAGCTTCTACTGTCGCCTGTCCTCATCCTCATTGTACCAGACGAAGTGACAAAGTGACCACCGCGGTTCACATTCCATTGTTGTCATTGTTGGAACTCATCAAAAATGCCAAAGCGCCGAGGCACCATTGGTGGCAACGGGGGTCCACCAAAGCGTCGACAAGGTCTTCGTGCGTCTTCTTTAAAAATCAGGCTTGAGTCCATCATCTTTCAAGGCTTCGACTACGAGCAGGACAAGACTAACAACGTTCCTAGTATACGCCTCAGCAATGACGAGGCAGAAGAAATTGTGACCATTTGTGAGCAGCATCCTTCACTGGCCACCAGCACATTCCACAAAGATATTACTCCTCTTGCATTCTTGATCACATGCAGAGCAAGCTTGGCTGTGATCCAATCGTTCTGCCAGAAATTTCCTGACGCCTTGAAGGTGAAATGGACCATCGCTGCGGAGTGGGACAAGTGTCTTAACGGTAACGCTCCCAGGAAGAGACTGCACGAGAAACGCTGGCGTTCCTCCCCTGAAGGGCTCCCGCTAAAAACGGCATGTTACGTAGCAGGCAACCTTGCTCGTGGAACCATCTCATTTCTTGTTGAATCGTATCCTGAGGCAGCCAACAGCAACTCAATTGTTGATCTTCTTCAAAACCATCGCACAGCCACGCTTCGGGATGTCAAGCCACTGGTGGATGCTGTTGTCCGATGTGGAGGCTTTCAGCAACAAGAAGGGGACCAAGCAACAGTGCTTGAATGTGCCTTCCTCTATTGCCGCTACAAAAGTGTGATAGAGTACATCATTCCACACTGCCCACATGTTTCACATTTTAAACATCGATCTTACGAGTCTGAAGTGCGGGTCGATCACTCTAGGAATATGGCGAAACTGTTGCCTCAGCTCGTCAAATTGGACATTGATATCAACTGGAAACTTCTCGGCCCAGCCTCCTGGCAGACTTTCACAAGAGTGCTGCAGGGCTCCCATCGCTTACAAGAGCTCACTCTGCGGCTTTGGAACCAGGGCCAGAGCTGGTATTGCCCAGGGAGTGGTCGCCTGGTTCCTCACTGGGTTTGGGCTCCTTTGAATTCTGCAATTGGCTCCATTCCCACGCTCAAGACGTTGTTCCTGACCAAAGACCTCGACATGCCCAATGGGGATGAGGGTGTCACAGACGCAGTTGTGAGCATCTTGGGGCACAACACGTTGGAAAATTTGACTTTGAAGGGCTTCCGGGCAGACCTTCATGCCATCATCCAAGCATTGAAACAGTCTGGCACTCTGCGAGAGTTTCAAGTCCAGGATTGTGTCGAATGTTGTCACCGCGAAGAGCTTCTGGAATATTTGAAAGCTGAGAATACAACCTTGACTCGCCTGGGAAGCCACTTTCTGGGTGCAACAATGCCTCCTCGCTGGCGAAGCAACTCGGTGGGCTGGTACGATGAGCTTGGTATCCAGCTCAACTACTATTGTGAGCTAAACAAACTAGGCCGTGGCTTGGCTCGGGATGCCTCAACATCGGCGGATGTTCTTGCTGGTCTCCTGACAAAGGCGATGCTCACTCGGGACAACACTCTGGGCAAGCTGTTTGGTCTCTTGCGTGAGTGCCCAAGCATCTGGTGCCCAAACTAGACTGCTGTCATGATTTTCTATCAAATATTTGGTTTCACAGAGCATTTCACGTTCTATGGGAAGAAAGCATGGAGTCAACCAGCCACACGAGAGGCTTGGTTTGTATTGGCAGCCAATGCGACGAACATTTGCGATATTGTTTATTTAGGAACAAACATGCATCCAACTCTTTGGGACTAGCGAATAATCCACTACTCTAGCTAGCTAGTAGGTAACACTTGGGCTTGTGGGGTTTCTTCAGCATGTTTGCCCCGCTTGGACTTTCCCGGCAACCGGTAGAGAGCTAGGAGATCACTATGAAGGAAAAGCATCAGGTCATCACGTTCTTGGACGAGGTCTGTGGCCGCGGTGAGGAGTTCCCCAGCACATTGAAGTCAGCAAGCAAAGCTGGGCTTTTCAGTGGTCTCATTTGTGGCTTGCACTAGCTCGTTGCTGCTACTGTACAAGCCAGACGCGCGCGATGGAGGAATAGATACAGGTAGAGTATGTCTAACCAGTCCTCTTATGTTTCTCATTTTCTTGGTTGGTTTGCTTTGTTCTGTTTTACTATGCTGCCTCGGTCCATACAAAGGCTTGAAAGACTCGGGGGTCAAAATCTGTGCTCTGGTCATCCCAGGGGTACGCATCAATATAATTCAAGTTCTCCGAATTGAACTTGGCGCACGCATACCATCGAAGCGCAACCGACAATGCTTCTTCGTCCAGACATCGTATCCTTGCAGTATTCATTGGCGCTTCATACTCACTCAAGCTGATGCCATATGCGTCCACCGCGCCGCCTTCTGCGGGTCTGTTCTCAATGGACTCTGCTCCAACTTCCCGCGATAACATTTGTTTCGACGGCAGGCTGTCAATAATATCAAACCAAGCTTTGTCATTGTGCGCTCTTCGAAGTTTCAAAATAGACACGACGTGTTCATGAAAGAAAAGCGTGCAGGCAATCTTGGCTTTCTTGAGGTCGCGCGTCGTGGTTGTCGTTGTAGTTGTTGCTGTTGTTGTTGTCGTCGTCGTCGTCGTCGCAGGGGCTGTTCCCGAATTGTTGTTGGTCTCACTGCTGCTTTGCACGGACGGTGTCTCCCCGTTAGTGGATTCCTTATCCGCGGCGGCGGCGCCGCCACCATCGCTTGAGGCGGCCCCTCCCGACTCGCTACCATCCGCCGCTGCATCACCGCCCTCCTCGCCTTCGGCATTTGAAGAGTCTTCGGTCGCAACGATCGGCACAGTACCTTCCACCAACACCCGAATCAGTTCATTCAGATGTCGCTCATCCAAAATGTTGCCTCCAATCACTGTCACGAACTGATCTTGCGACAGCAATTGGTTCTTCAACAAGTAGTCGTGTGAATCCGACGGAATCAAAAAGGCATCCGCCATGACGCCCAATTCTTCTCGCACTTTCGGTAAAATGGAGGGAACTTCTTCGTCGATCACAGACTTGATGGTTTCGTCAGGCAACCCCGGATCATCTCGCGGCTGCCCATTAAAGTCGGGTTCGGTAAAGTTGATAAAATGATGAATGCAAAGCAATGGCGCAATCACTGTACATCCATTGGTGCTGCCAGGATTTTTCCCTTGATAGGTATCGACCTGAGTCACTCGCAACCTACCGCTGTTCCACAGATGAACAAAATCTTCATGATATAGCATGTGCAACGTTTCAATTTGTAGACGACTCTTGGTCAAACGTCTCTGCAGTTGCGGTGCGGGCGGTGCGGCAGCACCGGCATGTTCCGGCATGACGACAGTCGTTGGCTGTAATAAGTGTTGCGGGAGTTCATACTGTTGTACTTCGCTTTGTTGGCAAGCCTCTAATATCTGCAATTCCTCTTGTTCCCGTAATGCTTCCATTTCCCGTTCACTTTCCTTGAGGGCGTGTTCGAGCATCCATTGATCATCATCGTCGGGTGGGACAGCAATCATGGGCGGTTCATCAATGAGGCCCACCAACTCGGGTTGTACTTCGAGTCCGGACAGGTAGAGGGCTCGTTCGAGAGCGACATGATCGGCATACGTGCGTCCACTCATTTGGCGTCCAAACTCGGGTCTGTCGGGCATGAGATCGGGCATGATCATCCAACCTCCGTCGAGTGATGGCGGTGGTGGCACATTGGCCCCCCCTCCTGTCAGCATAGGATGTGTAATGCTGGCGCGAGAGACCTGTGATAACGATGGATGGAGTGCCGGCGGATCCGTCCTGACGACCGTGGCGGTGATGGGTTGGGCAATTTGCACTCCAGGTGGTGGAGGGGGCGGGGGAGGTATTTCGCTGGGTTTGGGTTGATGCATCATTTCCCTCATCATGGAACTCATGGTTCGTTCCGAAGGTGGCGGTGGTGGTATGCCCTTGGGTGATTGTTCCTTGGATTGGTCGTGATTATTGGTAACAACGGCCGTGGCAGTACCGGGAACAGCGTGACCGACCACCGTTTCATACTTTTGTTGGCCGTCGCCCACGACGGAGGACAGCCCCCCGGGTGGACACATGGCTTCGGTAAAACTATCGAGAAGTGGTCCACACGTTTCTCCCAACAGCGTTGTCGGCGCTTCCTGTCGTTTCATTTCATTGAGCTGCGTTTCTACTGCCGCGCGATTTGCTTCGTATTGGTCTTTGCTGGATTCTTCGGCTTGCTCTAATGCGAGACTGGCCAGTGTTTGTACCTTTCTAAACTCGAGCTTTAGATCCATCCCAAAATCGTCTGATGGGAATTGTTGTTGCTGTTCGAGAATGGTTTGTAGCATATTGGAGACTCGGATCGCATTGAGACTATTGGCCGTTCGTTCCTGTGTATGTCTCGTGGAATAATAGTACCCGTGCTTGGGAATCTCCAATAGAGCCGTCTCTACAAACTGCAGACCAATGGCGTAGGCGATTGTGAAGAGCTTGTTCTCGTAGTGACTTTCAAACGCCGTCAGGATTTGATTGTTGAGAGAATAGTGTTTGGTAATGGGAGTGGCTCTGTAGGCAGATAGCGAAGCAGTGGTTCTGTGAATTGTAGATCGTCGTGCCACCAATGGAGGTGGTTGCACTATAGTGGGCCTGTGATTGGTGGTTGCCGGGGCAACGACAGCTGTCGTAACGCTGGCTTCAGTACCTGGCGCTGGCACTGGCACTGCTACAGCTGGGGCTGGTACTGGAGCTGGCGCAGAGTTGCTGTTGCTAGTAGCGTTGGTGGCACTGGGAGCAATGGGTATTGGGGGTACAGGCTGCTCCGCTCCTGCATTCTCCGCACTCCGTTGGCGCATCAGCTTTCTTCGGTCTTTCGAGCGAAACATCTTCATCTTCAAATCTAAAGACGGCTCGAAGCTCCAGGTGATTGTTGTTCTTACTGACTGAGCAGAGCTGATGCTGAGCAGCAATACCAACTGATCAGGATGATACCACTATCTTCTATCTCTGATCGAAGATAAGGTCCAAAGAGATTGTTGCCTTTCTAGGATAACTCTGAAAGGCGTCAATCTCCACACTTATGAGCGTTCCTTCTGGACAAGATGCTTCCAGATCGGATATCTTGAGCTCTGGGTGGGTGGTCTTCTAAAGCCAGGTGGTGGTATAAAGACCCCAGCAGAGAGCCAAAAGGTATCTGAAGATGACCTGATGCCAATGCTACCCGTCACTCTGATCTTGCCTTATCGTGAAGTTACGGTTGTAGGCAGGTTCAGAGATCGTTGGCTGCTATCTTCTTGGCCGTTTCACACCTCTTAACCCTGATATTCTACCTCAGGTTACGATCTTGTTCAGCCGTGCAAGACTCGCTACCCCTTGTGCACTGTCGGAGTTGTTCAGGCCGCTGTTAAGAAACACTGCCACCAATATATGTATAGAACAATGGCTAATCGCACAAGGTAACGAGACACTTGTGGTGGCAACTCAGCTTACGATACAAGAGGCTCGAGCCTCGGCTGCACCGTTGATCGATGACGGGTGTGTAACGTAACGTTGCCTTGCCTGGTTGTTGGATGCATGCAGGAAGGAAGGTCGCAGCGTGCATGCTGTTAGTGCTCGTTGTCTGTCCGTCTACCGATGATACCAAAAGGTGTGGAGCGCCTCAATGCGCGGCGGCACTAACGTAACCTGGCACGCCTTTTGGACATCCGTTGAGGCACACTCCTTAATTCCATTTTTGGATGCTGCGGGAGGACATCCAGGGTCCCACAAATTTCAACCATACATCTCCGCGGCGCCGCACTTCGATGCCTCCGTGCTCGTGCCATCTCTCCACCCTCCCATTAGATCTATTTGCATGAATCATTCTACTGTACTCTAGCTAGTACTTCCACTTCATCAAGCCCCAAATTATGGCATTACTTCGTTCTTCCTGACTGAACACTTTCTTTGTGTCTGCCAGCTAGCTTGATACTTGGTTAGTTTATTCCCAACCTCTAGCCAGGTAGTAGCGAAGTCAAAGAATGCGTACGGATTGTAATGCAACCTCTATTGGAACACTGCGAGAACGAACTCCAACCAGCCCCGGGCTGGCTGCCTTCTTGCTACAAGATATTGGAGGATATACTGGTTAGGAAAAACTCATGTACATGGTACCTGGTGTCAGTGCCACTACGGTACGTACACACCTGGGTCACGCTCCAGAGAGGTGCAGCATGGCCACGTCGTATCTAGTTCCATCAAGCAAGAGGATTACACAAACTGATTGCTGTCAGTCAAAAACACCTCCAAGCTGTGTTTTGATTGCAGGGTACTAATCTCGGTAGGAATCTGGCCTGTCAGCAAATTGGATGATATGTCGAGGGTTTCCAGGGCTGTGAGAAGCCCCAGCTCTGTGGGGAGCTGTCCAACAAAGCTGTTGTTCCCTAGTTTCAGGTGCTTGAGGTTTGTCAGGAGACCAATTTCCGATCGTATAGCTTGCCCAAGTTTGTTGTGACTCAAATCCAGCACTCTTAGCATGGTCAGTCTTCCAATCAAAGAGGGGATATACCCGTGCACCATGCTATTTTTTAGACTCATAGCCTCTAGAGAGCCTGCAAGGTGCAGGAGGGGTGTAATAAACATGAACTGGAAGGGTTCCGTGAACCCCCCGGCCCCTTCCAAAAAGATGGACTTTAGGGATGTGAGCAGAGCAGTTTCGTTTGGAAGGCCATCAAGAGGACTACTGGTATCAAAGATATCTCGCAGATCAAGGGTTTGATATTTGCCTTCGTCATTACAAACACTGCCCACGTCATCAAAACGCTCAATGTAGGAGCCGTCTTCTTTGAAATCACCATGCAAGCTCGAGAACCATTCACATTCTGATTTCGACTCGTCCAGCCAACTTTCTCCAACGCCATGCAACCAATTGGGTCCACCAAGGGCATAATAGATTGTTACCAGTGCGAAAAGTTGGTGTTGCCTCCAGGATGTCGGACCACGAGTGAAAAGAGGGGAAGCAGTGGGCACAAAGGAAGGCACAGCAGAATGCCGAGGCAAGTAAATGATTGTGTCTTCTCCTGTTTGCAGACCAAAGACCAATGCCAGGGTCACTGAGATTGTCACCACCGCGAGAACCATGATGGCAATGTACATGTATTCCATCTTCTGTAACCCCCCATCTTCAAACATGTAATTGCGCTGTGGCAGGTCCTCAGGAATCGGCACACTGGTTGGGGAGTGTTCCACATCGCCCGCATACAAAGGATCATTGCCACTATTCCGATTCTCCCTAGCTTTTGTGGTTGCTTCCACTGAATCCATGCCACGGCGAACAGTGTCTTCTGTTGTCGCTCGTCCCATTTTGTTGTCTTTACATAATAATGAAAGCTTGGATTGTCTCCAGGAAGGCCCCGTCATGCGACTAGCAGTCGCCAAAAATCGGCCTAAAGTCGCACACGGCATCAAAGTCGCATCAAAAGTCGTATGTAAAGTCGCATGAGAGTCGCATGAAAGTCGTATGCGACTTTCTCGCACGACTTTCAAAGTCGCGCAATATTACTATAAGCAAGGCGACAGAATCGCGTAGAATCGCGGAAAGTCGTTTGAAAAGTCGTATGAAAGTCGCGTGCGACTCGCGCACGACTCGCACGCGACTTTATGAACGACTTTCAGCGATCCCACGCGACTTTGACCGATCCGGGACTATCAGTCGCATGACCGGGCCTTCCAGGTCACCAACTTCCTTTCCAGACGTGAATTTGGAAATGGCAAGAAGACGGGAACTCTGAACCTTGGTACTCGTGATTCGCAGTAACGAATCCCAATATCTTGGATCCTTTCTCGTTAACAATTGAGAAAAGATACGGCCGGCCCCACAAACTCACACCACAGCAACTAACAGTACGATAGCTCGAGTAATAGTCATGTCCTCTTTCATTTGCTCTCTTGTCCTTCTGTTGCTGGCTCCATTGGCATCCTGCCATGGTCATCATGGTGGAACTGTCTTGGTCCTGGGCGCGACCGGACGCACTGGTTCCTTGCTGTACAAAGACCTAAAGAAAACGAGCCGCCACGAAGTGCGAGCCCTGATACGAAGTACGGACAAGGCCCGAGATATTCTAGGCTGCGACAAGTGCGACGAGTCCGAAGGAATCTACTTGGGCGATATCACCAATGTGACATCAATGATACCGGCCTTTGAACATGTCCAAACGGTAGCCATTGCCACCGGATTGAGTGGGAGAGGATCGCCCACGCAGGAAGTCATTCGCTCCATCGAATTCGACGGGATCCAGAATGCTGTGAAGGCACTGGCACAAGAAACCAACATTCAAGCCTACGGCGGTGTGTCCAATCTTCGAGTGGTATTGTGCAGTTCCAGGGGAACCACGACACCTAGCAGCGGTGTTTTCGGAGATATTCTATTCTACAAGTTAAATGCCGAGGTATTCTTGGGTAGCATTGGCATGACCACCTCGATTGTCAAGCCTTGTGGGTTGTCCACTCAAGCGGGTCAAAATCGTACACTGGTAACAGTGCACGATGATGCGCCAACTCCCACCGGATCACAAATGATACCCAGAGCAGATGTAGCAAGAGTCATGGGGCAGCTTGTCCTGGAACCTCCAACCCAGAACTTGCGCTTTGACTTGTGTTCCATAGAAGGACCGGGAACCAAAGATCTACCCAGCCTTATTGAGTCTGCCAAATGGAAATGGCAGCAACAAGATGACTCGGGGAAGCATACGCATCACCACCATCACCATTCAAAGGAAAGCCGACGTTCCCTGCAAGAATTGATTTCCCAAACCATGCAGAGTGTGCCCATCAGATTTGTTCCAGCCAAGTAGGTTGGCCCAATTGAATACCGGTACCAGTACTACTAGCCAGATAGCATGTAGTGCAGTAATCGAAGAAGACATCCCATTGAATATGCATGCATTTAACTTATTAGATTCTAGAGCGCGCTTCACGTATCCATTCATTCACTTGTGCTATTCTCGACATGACATTTTCCAAAGAAGCAAAACGACTTGGCACAATTCTTAACGTGGTTGTTGGGGTGGTTGGATCATGCCACTGTTCATCATGCTGTTGTGAACAAACTGCTGCGGTTGCTGCTGTTGTTGTTGGGGAGGAACTTGCATGTAGCTCTGGCCCATGCCCATAGAAGCAGCAGGAGCACCCTGGCCCATAAAACTGCTATTCATGTTCATGCCAGGATTCATGCTGCTCATTTGCGGTTGGCCCATCACAGGTTGCTGGATCTGCTGCTGTTGCGGTTGTGGAGCAACGCTGCGAGGCGACGACACGTTCGTCCACTGTGACGTATCATTGTGGTATTCGGGGAAAGTCTGCAAGAAGGTGTCTCGAGTACTCTCCCAAATGGCAACACGTTCCGCCGCGGCTTCTTTCATGTAGCTGGCAATCACCTTCATGCTCTTGGACCAATCCATACGACGCGAAAAGGAAATACGGTTAACTTCGCGCTTCAATCTCTCGCCAATTTCATCGCACTCTCGCACGGCACTGACTGCCATGTTGTCGCTCATGGTGGCGTTGCTCATCATCTGATCCATTGGATTACCTCCATTGTATTGATTGTTCATCATCATGTTGTTCGGTTGACCGCCGTATCCGCCTGGTTGTTGGTGTCCGTACCCGCCGCCATACTGTTGTCCGTACTGTTGCTGGTGCACCATCAGCTGCTGGGCACGCTTGTCAGCCCTACCACGTTCTTTCGTTCTCTTGGCCAGAGCATTGCGACGATCGCCCCACGCGAGTTTCTCGTAGCGACATAGCTTGTACTGCTTGTGGAATGACGACATGGTCGCCTGACCAATCTCCTGTCCCAATCGCTTGGTGCGTCGTCCGTACCGCAACAATCCATTCGAAAAGATTTCCAAGGGCATGGCCAATTCGCGATCGCCCTGCTGCAAAACTTCCTTGGCCAAGCGGTTCAATTCCATACCGACAGCACCGGCACCTTCGCCTTGTTCTCGAAGGAGCGTCACGGCCCCTTCCAGCTTGGGCACTGCCTGCAAAATGGCTCCCATGCGAATCGATTCGCTGGAACTCAAAGCCAACAATTCCGCCGAGTCTTCCGTGATGGCTTCCGCCAATTCGCCAACTCCCATGTTGTTAGCCACGGATCCAATCACATTGTTCATGACACCGGTTTGACCAGGGTTGGTGTTGGCCGGAGCCGCCGTGCTGCCAAAGAAACCACCAAAGGACGCCGACGCATTGCCAGTCGTGACGGCACTACTCATGCGAGTGAATGCATTGGACGATACCTCTGGCCATGCCGTGCCCATATCGTCTTGCAATCCTAGAAACATTTTCAATGACTGACTGGCAAACACTTCGGGATGCCCCACGAGTGCATTGAGCCATTGTTCCAATTCTCCAGCCCGCTGCCAGGCAAATTCTGCCGATTGATGCGTCGAGGCTTCTTCAATAGCGCGACCGACGTGCTTGTCGGGTCTGAAAAACAAGAAATAAATGGAGGGAAAACAAGAAAAAAGCAATCCGCAAATTTAGATCGCCTCGAATAAACTAAAAACAATCGGTATAATAATTTTCCTTTCATGCACTTACCTCGGTGGCAGAATAGCTCCTGGACATTCGACTCTCAATCGATCTTCCAACGCCACGACATGTCGGAATCGTCGTCGGACCATCCACACACTGGGTGGTTGTCCCTTGATTTGTGTGGTGAATTGATAGGACCAATGGGGTGGACTACTCACCATTCCCAACAATTTCGAGGGTGCCTGCAACAGTACCGGATCGTTGCAGACAACCTTGCCATAATACGTGGGCACATCGGGGGGTCTGGTGATGGGTACCGATTGTGCGGGCATGACGCGTTGTTGTGGTTGCATTCCGCCGTAGGGCTGTTGTTGTGGCATGGGTGCTGTATTGTGCATTCCCGCCATGACACTTCCTTGCGTGGATGGTTGATAGTATCGATTGGGACTGGCATTGTTCTGCTGCTGCATGGGAGCTTGCGGCTGTTGTGGTGGTGCCGCCATTCCACCACCGCTGTTAATGTCCGGAGCGTGTTCTCGATACATGATTCCTGGGACATTGATTTGAGCCGGTGGTTGTTGTGGTTGTTGCTGCTGCATCATTGGGTTTTGGTTGACGGGTTGTTGCGGCATAGTATTGTTCGGTTGCGGCTGACTGTTCGGCATGGTCGGTCCGGGTTGGTTGATTTGTCCTGGTTGCTGGCTGCTCATCGGCTGCTGCTGCTGGTTACTATTTTGCATACTATTCTGCATGTGTCCCGGTTGGCTCATTTGTCCGGGTTGATTCATCATCATTTGCTGCTGCTGATTATTCTGCATTTGTTGTCCTGGCAGACTCATTTGCTGCTGTCCTCCTTGATTATTCATCATTTGTGGCTGCTGCTGATTATTCTGCATCATCTGTTGTTGCTGCTGCATCATTTGCTGCTGCTGCTGTTGGGATTGCTGCAAATAGGAGTCTTGTCCTGGATTGAGATGCATTCCGGCCATGCGCTGATCCAACGTGTACGTTTGTTGTTGTTGTTGTTGCTGTTGAAGTCTCTGTTGCTCTTGTTGCTGTTGAAGCTGTTCTTCCAATTTCCTCTGTTGTTCGGCCGCGGCTGCCTCTTCTTCTTGACGTTTCTTTTCGGCGGCTGCTGCTTGCGCCTTTTGTTGTTCTTCTTGGTCAATATCATCAAAGAGTCCTCCTCCTCCACCACTCATCATCATTCCACCCAGATCGGCCTTTTTCTCGTCACTGGAAGGACCAGCGCCCAACAATCCCGAATTCAAGAGTAGCGACTTGGACATGTTGTTGTTACTAGTAGCAGAAGCCGGTGGAACTGCCGAAATGACGGGTTGACTCGCCGCCATGGGATTAGCGCTGCTTGGTTCCACATAGGTAATGTTGGGAGCATTGGGCATCATTTGCTGGGGTTGAGGATAGGGAAAGTTGTTGCTGTTGCCGTTGCTCGGTGGCATACTGGCAGGGTTGGGCTGCTGTTGCTGCTGTGGAGGTGGCATGGACATTGGGTCGTGATAGACACTGCCATTCAAGGTCGTATTGGGCATGGCTACTGGTTGTTGTTGCGCCTGGGGAAATGGCGCTGGAGCAGCTACAACAGGAGGAGGAGTATCGTCAATAGGAATGTCGCCAAACAAATCTTCGTCACCATCGCCTCCACCGGCAGGACCACTACTCGCCGCGCCAAGCGTCAAAGACGCCATCAACGAGGCCGTCTTGTCGTTGCTCATCTTTCTCTTGTTGTCACTCAATTGTCACTCTTGTCGCTTCGAATTACTCGAGTCTTGATTTACTTATATTCTCTCTATCACCGCAAGAAACAACTACACTACACAAGCAAGAGCCAATACACACGAACAGGACAATCGATCACCAAAGGATGTCCTTTCGATTTTTATCTCTTGTGGCTCTGCTTTGCTTCGTGCATCCACTCGATCGGCCGCGCATCGCAGCGGGAGAAAAAGATCCACCCAACGGTTACCTTTGAAGCTGGCGCGTTCGTGACGTCGACAATAAACAGCAGAGCTGTCAAATTGATACAGCAACATACGACACCTGATTTGATGTAAGGTAGTCTCCTCAAACAAACAAAAATAACGGCCGAGCAGCAACACTGTGGACAAGGGGACAAGGGGACAAGGGGACAAGGGTCTTCTTTCGATTGCGGCAACAACGTTGCAAGAGTGGGGAAACAACGTCGCAATTGACGGTGCTGTTCCACTAACTTATCAACTCTCGGCCGTCCCAAAGCATGAGCATGCAGAAATCGACAAAGACTAAGAAGGCTAGTAGTAGCGAGGCATCATCCGAAAACAATAATGATGTAGACCTTCTCAAGATAGTGGAGATGCGGATAAGAGGCGACGCATCAGATTTTATGGAGAGTGTTGAAGAGCAAAGAAAATCCAGACAAGCTCGCCGCCATGTTGTACCACCACGGCCACCGCCGCGTGACCTGTCTCAACCCAATAATAATAATCACTCTCAACAACAACAAGCAGATACTATTCTTCCGCCTTGTCGTGTTTCCAAGGAGGATACCTTCGACATACTTAGTCTTGTGGCCGAAAGAGCTGCCCAACCACCATCACTGCCTGACGATGATGATGTTGATCATATTGACGACGACGATCAGGAACAAAATACGAGTACACTGGAACTCACGGAAACAATCAAAGATACAAGAGCAGTACTACGGAACAGCAACAACTCATCCACAACAGTAACCCCACCGACATTGTCGCGAGCAAGAAGGGCCTCACAAGTGGAACCTGGGGCGTATCCTGTGGCTGGGATTAGAGCAATGATGCATCACCCAAGTCGTATCCCATCCACTGGAAGGACGCATGGCATGGACGAGCTGGGATTGGAATTGGTGTCTTCATCTCAAGATGAAACTCATTATGATGATGATCTGGTTCATGCCGACCCAGTGGACGACTCAGAAAATGGGGAGATTGCAACTGCAGAGCCAATTACAACAAGGGCAAAAAGAGTATGGAAGAAGAAACTCTGTCTTCACCTCTCCCTACAAGCCATTGTTGCCATTGCCATTGTTGCCATCATCCTTTTGGCTTTTCTGTTGGCTCCAAAAATGGGTAATCATAAAGAGCTTGGAAAGCACCAAAATGGGGTACTTCCAATCGATCAAAGACAACCACCACCACCACCAAGCACACAAGAGCCATCAAGCTTGCTGGAAAAACTCAATCTGCCGGATTACACACTCACGGAAATGGAGAATTCTAGATCTGCACAATCCAGGGCTTATCATTGGTTAAGCAACAATATCAACAAGAACAACAATGGCCAGAATCTCCCTGTATGGAGACTAAGGCAAAGGTTTGCTTTGGCCACATTTTACTATGCCACAAGAGGTGACAATTGGGTGAAAAATCAAGGCTGGTTGGATTGGGAAACCAACGAGTGCAACTGGGAACAAATTCAATCGCGTAGGGTGCTGGACCAAGCACCAGCTTGTGATGACAATGGGCAACTCCTATCATTGCAATTCAAGTTTGCCAACAACGCGGACGGAACAATACCACCAGAAATATCCCTGCTTCATGAAAGCTTGGAAAGAGTAGTAGTATCTTGGAGCTTCCAACTCAAAGGACACATTCCAACGGAGGTTGGGCTTCTGACAAGGCTGAAAGAATTTGTGTTAGGTACAACACACTTGTCTGGCACACTACCAACAGAACTGGGTCAGTTACGAAGCTTGGAGCAATTATTGATCTCAAGTAACGCGTTTGTTGGGACTTTACCTACTGAGCTGGGCAACCTAAGCAACCTGACAAATTTTATATTTGATGGAGCGAACTTTTCTGGTAAGTGAGGGAGCGACAAAATCATTGCAGAAATTCCACAGTTTGGCTTTTGACTCACTTGATATTTCTGCCTACTGGTACACAGGGTCAAGCCCCACTGAGATTCTTCAATTGTCAAATCTCAAGCACTTGGGTTTCACAAATTGCCCTGGGTTGGATATAGAGGCTTTCCTCCCTGAAGTAACTAGAAACATGCACAATTTGGAGACACTTGTTCTAGGTGGTTGGAAACCTGGGCGGTTGACATCAATTCCATGTAAGTGTCAACAGTTCCTTTCTCTTTGTTTGCCTACTGGTAACTCAAACTATGTTGAAATTGTGTTTTGAACAGCTGAAGTTGGCAAGCTGACCAACCTGGCAACCCTGAATTTGAAAGGCTTCCAACATAATGGCCCCATTCCAAGTGAGATGGGATTGTTGACACAGCTAGTAAGCCATCAAAATGACTTTGTTGTTTGTTGATTGCCCCTTTATGCACTTTACTAAGAGAGATGTATCACTTTTCATAGACCAACTTAAACTTGCAGAGGAGCTCAATCTCAGGCACTTTGCCGAAAGAGTTATCAAAGATGTCGCGTGAGTGCAGTATTCCTTTTCTGTAGCCTGGGAGGCCATCTCTGCTCAATTTTCATTTTTGCTTGTTTCTACATCAGAATTAGAATTCTTAAACCTCCAATCCAACAAGTTGGAAGGAAAGGTCCTTGAACAAGGTGTCCTCCACCTACTCAACAAGTTGCAGCTTTTGCAAATAAGGGACAACCTATTCTCGGGCTCTCTTCCCACTGAAGTTGGTTTGTGGTCTAGCCTTGAGATTCTTTCACTGCAAAACACGAAAATATCTGGCACTCTTCCCACGGAATTGCTTTTGTTGGACAATTTTGCCAGCCTGGTAGTCGTGAACACATCCTTGACAGGCAGCATCCCTCGTGGACTGTGCAACAAGGTAGTCCTAAAAAGGAAGGAAAGTGTTTTGGGGGCAGTTGCTATGGAGTGGCAACTTCTAACCTGTCTGTGTGCTATGGAACAAATCTGTGCGGCTGTAGTTGTGCTCCTTGCTCCTACTAATGGCGCAGAAAGCTTCCATTGATAGATTAATCTGCAACTGCGGCGGCTACCGGTATGGGTAGGGTGCTCGTTTTCGTACTACACGCGATGGCCGCGTGGCAATTGTTATTCAGTTTAGCTAGCTAGTCCAGGATCGGATCACACGGAATGAGTTTGACACTCTATAGGTAGTACATGTACAAGGAAAGGTACGGAGTGAAGCTGATGCCAACTTCTACATGTACAGAATCGAATGACTTGCCCGTAACATACACTACTAGCTAGCTAGTACACATGTAGGATCTAGCTAGAAAGATAGATGACCTGTGACAAACGTGTCCGCATTTATTGCAGCTTCTCTCTGAAGTTTGTGAACAATCTAGCTAGCTGCAAAAAACTTCTGCCTACAGATTCCTGTATTAATTCCCATACTAGCTAGTACCTTCCTTTTCTTTCATTTTACTCTTTTATTGTCACTTGCAAATTCGGATTTCCCCCTTTTTCTTTGGCCAGCTTTTGCAACCACATTGCCAAATCATCACTCTCATCGTCGTCGTCTTCTTGTTTCAACAACTCTGGTTTGTGCAGTGTGAGTTGTTTCAGGCGTTTGGCTCTCTTGACCAACCCCGCCAATTTTTCCCGACTCGTGTTGGGTCCGACATGCCACAACACCAATTCTTCCAAATAGTCCACAGAGAGACAGGTTGGATCCAACAACACTCCCTCATAGTCGTGCGCCAGTGAAATTTCCAATTCCTTCAAATTATGCAGTCGTTCCAGTACCTGATAGCCAGCATGATTGAATTCAATCGGTGGTGCCGTTTTGGGTTTGGGTCGCAGTCGAATGACGCGTAGGGAATGTCGATGGGCGTGGCTGAGTACGAGTTTTTTCCAATCGGCATTGGTACAATTGCGTCCCTTGACTTTTCCGTATCGATTGCAAAAGGCAGAAATGCAAATTTGGAATCGTTCGCAAAAATCCAAAAGCACCGACATGCTTTTGGGAGGAAAGTGTGTCCCCGTCAAAAAGGAACATGCCATGGGTTGAAAGTGGCTGGGTGGTGTTCGAATTTTAAATCGTTCCTGGTAGAGTTGTTCCAAGTGTTTTTTTAGTTCCGTTTTGGGATCCTTGTAGACCAACTCGGTCAAGTCAATTTCGTGTTGGGTCGTTTGAAGTCTCTCGATTTCGTCCATGTGGCGGATTGCGTACTCTTGGAATTGTGGCGAACGGACGAGTCCATTGTAACTATGATTCTTCAACCAGTGCACATTCATGTGTCGGATTCGACCGACGGCAGTCACTTCATCATCACCGTGGCGTGGCTTTTTATTGTTGGCTTGGTCGGGCTTAGTAGTCTTCTGGGTGCCTGGAGGATCCTTCACACTCAAATTCAAATTCAAATTGGAAGACTCTCCTATCTCGTCTGTTGCTGGACGTTTCTTGTCTTCTGCAGTAGCAGCAGCAGTAGCAGCAGCAGCAGTAGTAGCACTGGTTTCTTTTGTTCCCACCGTGTCTTCACTGGCACTTTTTTCTTTCTTCTCGTCCTTCATGGTGGGTCAATCAATCAATGAGGCTCACTTAATTCTATGATATGGTCCGTCACACAATGCGGCACTGTCCCACAGTACGGTACGTGAAAGAGCGAGGTGGGCCAAATGAGAGTTGTAGCCAGGCCACTCAGCGGTCACCACACATTACCGTTCCCATGCAGCCACGAAGCACCACCATGGTCGCCTGCTTTTTTCAAGCTTCGATTGCATGGTGGTTATTTCGGTGCTGTTCCGGCCTTCTAAAGTACTGTACTTGCACGTGGGAGCTGTTCCGGTGGGAGTGAGTAACTCTGCGTCACGTGTATTTAATAGCCATCATGTCACGTTTCCGCTGTTACGTTTCGTTAAATCCTTTGGACGTGACTTGTATACTTTTGACCTTTTTTGGTCGTTTTGGAGAGAAAAATTGGGGAAAACCCACCAAATTTGCGAGGGCCATTGTCTTTTTGACCCACCGGTTTCTTTTGTCCAAGAAAAAGGGACAGCTGTCGGGACAGAGTACAGTAACTCTGCCCCACGGAAAACGCCACCGGTAATAAAGAGCCATTCAAGACGAAGCGACCATTGCAAGACGAGATTCAAGAAAGGGCAAGAGTGTGGATGGTAGGACCACCCAATCTACCGGTACCACTCTAGCTAGTAGTATAATAGTAGAGCTAGGCAGGCAATAGCCCAAGAGTAGCTAGCTGGATGTTGTGTGTGTATTGATGATCTGCAACAAGCAGCAGGAGGGAGTTTGGAACTCGAACGTCGTGCTGCGAAAGAAAAGAAACAAAGAAAGAAACCCAATAGCCCACATCGATACATCGACATTGTCAAGATGCACCATGGTATGGACGACTCTGACTTTTCGGCCGGCCTGAACGATGCGTTTTTCATCATGAACAACAATTCGCAAAGCACCATGGATCCCAGTGAGAACAGTACGTTGGAAGGAAGTGCCTTTAGTGTCTATTCCATGAGCATGAGCAACAATACGAACAACAACAACAACAACAACGATCCACAGACGCGAGACTTTTCCCGTCATTCCATGGCACTGTCGTCGACCACGGATGGAGCCACCACGGTCAGCAGTCTGTCGGATGGGACACCCTTAAGGGCCAGAAGAGCGCTGCAGTTTCCCGAGCTGCAACAATCGAGTGACGACAACATATCGTTGTCAGGACGACACTTGAGAGAGCAAAAACAACGGCGTCTCAGTGCCACTGCCAAACGACGACGAAGAAGACCCGGTGGTCCACCGTTGCCCAGCATGGGGACGACGACGGGGACGACGGGAATGACCAGTTGTGAAGAAAACAGTGCCGAGGAAGAAAGCGATTGCTCAGATCAAAATAATGACAATGACGATGATGATGATGACGAAAACGACATTCCTCCACTCGAACGACAACACACGGACAATAGCATTCTGCAGCAAGAAGAAGAAGAAGAAGACATGGGATCCATTCTAGAAAACGGTAGTGGCATGACACGCATCGCCCCTCCGTCTCCAAAACCACAAATCAAACGACATCATCATCATCATCATCGACAACAATACCCATCCGTTCCCCCCATTGGCTTTGTTCCAGCCGACTTTTTGACCCATGCAGACAGCCAGGAAAACAACAATAATGCCAGAATACCACAGCATGCTACGACAGCAACAAACACAAATCCCACCAGTTTGGCCAGTCTAGTAGAAAAAGACAAGCGCCCCAATACTGTTGAGAATGCTAAGGATGATGACAACAAGTCAGTAGTCTCGGTCTCGGCCAAAAACTTGCAAAAACGCAAACAACGACGCCAACAATCCTTCAAGAAACGACCGTCGCAAATGTCGGCCTATCAACAATTGCAAATGCAACAAAAGGAATTGAAAGCAAGACAAGATTCCATACCAGACTTTATTGTACCACCACCACAACAACAAAACACTAGAATATCCGCCTTGTTGAACCATCATCAAAATGGAAACAACAATAACAACAATAGTGCCCGAAGAAGACCTTCGTACATGGAGGATGTCTCATCCTTGGCCAACTCTACGATTGCCACCCGCGAAGAAGACGATGATGATTCCGAACTCGTCCTTAGTCCCATTGCACCCACTGCAGCGGCCACATGGAGTCGGCTCAAGGCCAATCAGCAACCCAACAAAATACCGCAACGAAAATCTTCCATGAATATGACTGCGGCCAAGGACGCATTCTCTGTAGTGTCCGAGGAAGATGATGATGACGACGATGACGATGACGATGATGAGAGCTTATTGAGTCCACTCAAAGTGACATTGCCACAGGAAAAGATTCAAGAAGCGCTGCACAAATTACACATGTCGCAACCAAACTTGGTATTGCCACTGACAGGCGATGACGATGATGATGATGACAATAATAATACGAATGCAAAAGAAGAGGAATACAGACTCAAACTGAGACAACGGAGTGGTACTACGACAACATCCCGACGAAACATGTTTCAAAAAGCCAAATCCGTCTCGCACTTGGGTTTGGAGCGAAAACTACAGGCACTGCCGGCCAAAGGGGATGACGACGATGATGACTACGACTTTTTGGCATGGAAAGCACCATCTCCAACACCAACAAAAGAACCACAACAACGACAGCAACAACAATCTGACAAGCAGGAGCAGTTGACAAGCAAGATTGTAGATGATTTTGGTCCCACCGTGAGACGACGGAATAGCACATCGGCACGACAACCAGGGAATACACGGTCGTTATCACCTCTGCGAAATCGATGGATCTCGGGATGTAAGGACGGTCTCATTGAAGAGGACGAAGCCAACGTTTTGGAGGAAAACCAAGAACAACAGAATCATGACAGCATGACAGGGTGGCAGCTGGCGACTTCGGAGGACGCAAAAATCCTCACGTTCCATAGAGCATCGCCTCCGCCCACCACCCCCAACCGGAAAGCCAATTCTCCTCGACCACCCGCCAGCAAACCAAAACCAAAATTGGCCAAGTGTAATTCCACTCCCAACTTGTTTGCCAATGATGATTCACCGGCTGTAAACAACAACAATTCGGTTCCACCGCTACCCGCCGAAAAGATTGAATCCATCGTGTCGTTTTTGCTGGGGGAAGGATTGGCTCCTGCCGCAGCGACAACGGAAGACACGAAGATTGCTCCCACATTGTCATCTGAAGACAAGGGTGAAATGGAAGGTCACGATCATGACGAGGAAGAAGAAAAAGATCCGCTTATTAAGCATGCTTCTGACGGGGAATCGTCGACACAAGACACCCCCAGTACCGACAATTCACAAGCATTGGATATGTTATTCCGTTTCGATGATAATGGGAATTCTAGGTCCATTGCTAGTTCTTGGGCCGAAGATCCAAAACAGGAGGATGCCGCAAACCAACAGAGCTCCTTTTCGTCGGCAGCCATGCCAGGACTAGCAACGTATGAGCAGTTTAACCAATCAGATGACGAAAAAGTGTCTCCCAGCTTGATCAAGAAAATAAGAAAAAGCGTAAAGAATGTGGGACAAGCAGGCACGAGGTACCTTCGAAAGAAGAAAGCTCATTCCTTGATCATGACCGCTGCGAAAGACGAAATGGCCAGACTGAGTCAATCAATGACCTCTTTTGAGTTCGGGACGAGCAACCATTCTTCTTCGGGGTTTATCATGGAAAAGGTGGAGGAACAGTCCAGCGAAGACGATGAAAGAACACCTGCTGCAAAATCGGCAGACGCTAGAAAAGAAACTTCAGAGGCGTCGTCCAAGGCACCAAAGCAACGGAATCCAGGTGGTAAGCGAGAGAGCTTCAAGTTGCCCAAGAAGCTTCGTGGCAAGCGATTGCCTTTTATGAGGTCGTCCTCGGTACCCGTTCTTGAGGCAGACGATGGGCCTTCAGACACTTTTCCGGCAGGAACGGGTGTCGCTGTAGCCTTGGATCAGACGGTGCCAGAAAGCCAGGCATTGGACAACAGCGAGAACGACAAACGCCCAACAACAATGACTCAGCCAATTTCACCACCCAAAGACTCATCATCACGAGGATCGGTTTCTCTCGTCTCCGACGCGTTGGCTTCGCCTGTGGGGACTGTCCGGCGCAAAACAAAGCTTTCAAAGTCTTCGTCGTCCAGTCGTCTTCCAGGAATCACACACACTCACTCCTCCCCGGTAACAGATTCTCCGATCCCCAGACGGATGGGTAAGGACACGCAACGAAGGTCGGCGAAAGGACCGTCCCTGACAAGTTCTGAAGCCACGGACCAGTCATCCGCTGTCTCGCCTGCAACACTAAGGACATCAAGAGGAAGCAAACAACGACCGAAAAGGAGTAGTACGGTGCATGAGAAACGAAGCCGCTCCAGAACGCGCCGAGACAGCAATAAGCAACGGTCAAAGTCAGCCTCTTCACGCCCTCGCAAGGAAAAGACTCGCCGGTCTTCCAGCCGGAGCAGAAAAAAGTCGCCATCGGGCAGCCGTCAGTCTCACCTGCATTCGTCCCTCGAGGGATCGTTCCAAAGTTTCTTCGAGAGTGACTCGTCGAATCGGCATTACACCGATATGCTTGCATCGAAATTACGAGACGAAGTTCGACGTTCAAGGCGGGAAACCAACAGTCCAAGGGCATCGTTTCGCCGCCATGCCTCGCTGCGCAATGTTGAAGACCGTAGCGTTTCCACCCGAAAGAGCATGTCTTCAGCAACACAGAAACCACGGCGGAACCTTCAAAAGGCCAAATCCTCTCGCGATGTGTACCCTCGACGCAACAAGTCTCGGGTCGTCGACGAAGCGTCTACTGCCTCCTCCCGTCCATCCAAACGAGGCGGCAAAATGAGGCTTGCCCGACAAGCCAAATCAGAACGGTTTCTTCACAGTTCGGCTTCCAGCATCGAGGGGCCCGATGAGGCTACCATCATGCGCAATAAGACAAAGGCAAAACGTGGCTCTACTTCTCGAGGTAGGAGTGGTTCCTACACGAGTCTACTGGCCACCCCTGTCACTCCCAGCTCCTCCAAGAAGCAAGTGTCCAACCGTCACTTGGTTCGTGAAGAAGACACCACTGACAGCGACCAGGGCATGCAAAGCACTCCTGCTAGTTCAAGGAGATCTGTTGCTGGTTCGCGAAGCAGTCGTCCTCCCGTAGCCTCCGGGAGGAAAAGAATGGGGAAGAGCCAGTCGCTCAGACATGTTCCAGATTTGACCTGAAATTCGGAGATGGCTTTACAAATTCTGTTGTCACGAATGAACCGTAGCGTTACCACGGTATCTACACGAACGCGCCCTCCCTGGTTTAGAGGCGAGTGGCATTCAGAGCGAGACTGGCTGGGCGAGAGCGGAAAGGAGAGCCAAAGACAAACGACGTATAGTTTGGCTAGCTGAGTCAAGTTCTTGCTTCGACAACGAGAGCGGCAGAGGGCAGCTTTCCAGAATGGAACTGAGTGGTTGCATCTTCTCGCTAGCTACAAGTACCGGTAGCAAGGTGGACAGAAGTAATTGGACCATGGCCTCTGAATCAATCTTCTGAACCCCCCCAGCTACATCCATGTTGATGCCATTGTCTTGCTGAAGATGACTGCAGCACAATAAAACAGTGCATATTTGTTTACCTCTACATGTAGTAGCAATTTTGTAAATAGAATTACAGAGTTGTAGAATTGGTGATATCCAAAGATCCATCCGCTCCAACCAAGATGTCAATGGTGATTTCAGAGAAGGCCTCCCCAGCTACCAAAGAATACAACACTGTTTCATTGGTGGCTGTCAGAGTGATCCATGCAGGGATGTAGACACCATCACCGAAACTGTCAGACACAACCAGTCTGTAGGCTGTGTCAGTGTTCACTGGGAAGAGAGAGGAATATAGATAATTCTTAATTTCCAGTGGACCACCTGATTCCAGTGTGTCCCAACCACCTGTCACATTGGTTCCCTTCTGCCAAACCCATGATAATTCGTCTGGAAAGTCATCAGTTTGGATATTGATCATCACATCAGCCCCTCTGGTTGGAAATCGTCCAGGCCAATCCGGTGGAGATTCTGTGAGGTCAGCACAAGTGGAAACAGGAGGAGTTTCATTTAGGGAACAATCACACCGCAGCAAAGCACAAAGATGTTCTGGAACAGTTCCTGAGAATCGATTTCCATATAGCCTCAACCCCATTGAAGCATTCAGCTGGCTGGGCAGTGCTCCTGTCAGGTCATTGTTGTGAAGACCCAGAAATGTCAAAGATGTCATCAGACCAATTTCAGTCGGGATTGGTCCGGTGAACTGATTGTGATAAATCCGAAGCCCCCCCAATGAGGTTAGGAGCCCAAGCTCAGAAGAAATTGTCCCCATCAACCGATTTTCGTTGAACGTCAGCGCTCGCAGATCCGTCAATCGGCCAAGCTCGGAAGGGACTTGACCAGTGAACTGATTTTGATCCAACACCAACATAGCCAAACCAGTCAACTTTCCAAGCTCAGAAAGAAATGGACCGGTGAGCTGATTATCACCAAGATGTAGAAAATGCAACGAGGTCAGGAGCCCAAGCTCTGAAGGAATCACACCAGAAATCTGATTTTGATAAAGCTCAAGATATTCCAATGAGGTCAGGAGCCCAAGCTCCGAAGGCAGTGGACCGGTCAACTGAGTCAGCGAAACATTTGTCAAAGAAAGCACATCCAAGTTTGTAGCCAATGCAATTTCGCTCGGGAGGGAACCTGTCATCATGGTATTGAACATCGCCAGGAAAGTTAGCTCTGTTAATAACCCAACCTCACTTGGAAATTGGCCCCTTAGAAGGCTCCACTGTTCATGCATTTCAGACTCATAGCCCAAAAGCAAAAATTTCAGGGAAGTCATCAACCAAAGCTCACTGGGAATAGTGCCTGAAAGATAAGGGTTGTTCAGCCGCATTGTTGTCATGCTGGTCAACAGCCCCAGCTCACTGGGAATCGGGCCTGTGACAAGGCAGTCGAAAACGTTGATGTCCAACAGACCTGTCATCGAACCAAGTTGCGTAGGCAGAGCACCAGTCAATGTTGGACCAATGTTGATGAGCTCCAAATCTGTCATGCTGTAGAACTCAGATGGGAAAAGGTCAGCTATCGTCATCTGGGCTCCAAAGAATAACAGCGTTAAATGTGTCAAGGATGTCAAAAGGGAAATCTCTGGTGGAACAGCAGGCAAGAAACCCTCTAGCTCAAGATTTCCCAAATTAAGAGAAGTCAGTTTTCCTTGGTTGTCACATGGGAGAATTCCGAAAGGAGGTCCAAATTCATCAAATTTTCCATCCACGAAGAACCCAAATCCACGGGAAAACCAAAGGCACTCTTCTTTTGTGTCATCCATCCATCTGTCACGAACAGGCCGCCACCAGTTTTCTCCTTCAAAGGAGTAGAAGAATGTGGACATGGCAAACAACTGCATCTTCCTCCATTCAGGTAAATTTGTGATGTTTTGGTGATTAACTAGCCATTGCCAGGCCTTCCACTGAGGGGTCTCACTGCCATTGTTGATGCTGGCCAAAGTGTAGTCTGGTAGGCTATCCAACAGTATGTCCAGAGATCCAGTAGGGGCAGATGATGGTGCTTCAGAAGGAGTTATGGAGCCATAGACCGTCGGAGCATCTGTTGATAGGAAGACAACCACGGCTGGCTCCTTCTTTTGGGTCCCTGCCACAGCTCCAACAATGACTGCTGCCACAATTATCAACATGACAAAGAAGAGAATAAACGTCAGTCTCTGTTTCTTCCTCTTTTGTTCTCTCTGCTGGACATGCTGTAGATCAACTGGATCTGCAGCGGGCCTAGTTTGTTCCTCCTCTGGATCTTCTAGAACAAGATTTGCCACTGCCAATTGTGTGTCATTTCTTGATGGAATGTTGTGGTTGGTGTCGACACTGGGTAGTCCTGCATCATGTGGCTCAGCCAGTGCAGATGCATTGTCTGGAATCTGCACTAATGGTTCACCTTGACCAGTTGCACCAGCACCAACAAGGGAGAACCTTAGGGTATTGGCTCGTTGCAAGGCTTCTCCCGGTACACCTTTGTAGGCCCCTGGTCTGGATGACTGTGGTTGTCTCTGTGGAATACTTTCAGGTTGTACTGCAAGTTCTGCACATTGCCGGTTTGGATCATTACCAGAATCTGCAGCAGTTTCAAATTTTTCCATTTTGGCAGCCTCATTGATTTCAGTTGCCATTTGCAGGAGGTCCATATTGTAACTAGCAGAGTTTCTGTGTTCTTCTTGCTTAAAAAGTTCGTTTTCTTTCAACATTATTTGTGCTGTTGCTGATCCTTTGGCAGGCATATTCGCAGCACATGTCTTTCCCTTTTGGAAAAACGATAGCTGGTGGCTTTGTGGAGTGTTGCTCATCCGAGCTACATTGCCCGCTGTCAGTGTCTTCATGGCAGAATCCATAGTATGGTTGGTATTACCATTACTATTGTCACAGTTACTTTCTGCATTCTCTTTGCTGGAACTACTTCCTCGGGCATGATTAGTGGCAAATTTTCCCATTTTGGCCGCTTCATTGATTTCCATTACCAACTGCATGAGGTGGTTGTTAGCAGTGTCTGGAGTTTCTTGATTTTGGAGATCTTCTTTGGCATTGAGATATTCGGCGACCGCCAAACTGGCCTGATCTGCCACAATTTTCATGACTTCTTCTTGGTCATCTGGTTGTTTGGGTTCACTTATTGTGTCTTGCAGCCGTGGATTGGCCCCCAAAATATTCTTGGGGCTGGGAAGAGCCAAGGAAGAAGGAAAAGGCTTCTTCTTGTTTACCGCTTGTTTGTCTTTGAACGCTCTTGCACTGGCGGTATCTTCATCCATTTGCCATTGTGCAGCTTCTGCCTCGGCTCTTTTCATCAGAGTATCTCTGATGACAGGGTCGAGTGACAGTCCTTCGGATGCATTCCCGAAATCTTTGCCAAGGGAACCATTTCCGTCCTGAGAGTGACCGTCTTCCTCATCAGTAGTACATCCAGTGCACTTTCCCTCTTTCATCCTGATAATGAGTGATACTATGCTGCTAGCTAGTATTGGACTGGAGTCGAGTGGCAGTCAAATCTATGGCTCAGTCCTTTCCTGTAAGGTAAGCACCATAGAATTTGCCTCAGTTGGTTTGATGCCTTTCGCCGTTCTGGCACATGAATATGTGGGGGATTGAGGTAAATATGGAGTTAAGGGTAATACTGATTCTTATGTTTTATTCTATACAAAACAATTTGTTACCGCAGCTACCTGAACTGTCATGCTTTTCAGGTCCATCCCAACCTTGCCGGTCTCCCCACACCCCACGGATCCTGACATGAATGCCACGGGGAGGAGAGTGGCAAGTTCACGATGATGATGAACCCCTCCACTTCCAAACAATCAGTGCCCTCCTTTCCAAGCTTATGCTCCCCAACCTGTCTGTCTGACAAGTATGCACACACGCAGGCTAATAGGCAAGCGGCAAGCGTATCACGGAGGATGCCACGAAGGCTTCATCCGATTTTAGCAAAGAGTGGCTTCGTGCGCCCACTTGAATAGTGATCCGCACACCGCTGCCAATTGTGTTTCTAATGTGACTGCCCATCCTGAAAAGAAGCAGGGTCTCAATGTACAGTAGGCAACTGCAAGTGACCTGGGGCATCTCTCTATTAGTCTAATCTTATATTAATAGCTTAACGTGCTACCTAAGCAGTCGCGTGCCTCACGTCTTGACAAAGTGTGTGCTGCACTGTACACTGTACATATCTGGTACACAAAGGCAGCCCAAATGGCACACTAGCTAGCAAATAAGTGGTGGATGCGCCGACATTACGACTAATTGTGCTTCGTCTTCTTTGCTTGAGTGTCATCAGTTTGCACAATGCCACCCCTTTTATTGCCAGTGTGATCATCCTTTTCCGCCACTTCGCCGTCCTCATCATCATCCTTGCCATCATCCTCTTCAGCGGTCCCAGAAATCTCCAACGCAGAAATCGTCGGCTCCATCATTTCTTTCCCCCAAACAAAAACCCCATTGCCGCTGGCCGACTCAAAAGGAAAGTCCTTCCATGTGGTGCTCTTGACGAAGCTCTCCCACTGACAGGAGAACGCGACAATGCGATTCCCAAATTCCACCTGGAAGCCAAGTGTTTTTTTCAATGCGGAGATGAAGAAGTCTATCCCCTTGTGGCTGTAACCGGCGGACCCTGTCTTTGGGCTGATGTCCAGCTCATGGCTTATTCCTTCGTACCTCACCCCCAGAGAAGCAAAGGCTTCTTTCGTCATTTTCGAACGACGAGAGGGAGGCCTTGCATAATGCTTCGCTTGGTACAAATCAAGGAAAGCACTTTCGTCCCTTCTTTTCCTCAAAACCATTACGTCTGCACCTTGAACGGTGCTGACGGTTTGTCGGATGACTACATCGAAATCGGTGAGGTCTGCCACTTTTTCTGCGATCAATTCCACGTCCTTCCCGACTCTTTCTTTATCAGCCTCGCCCTTGTACCTGGATTCCACCTCCTTTGAGACAAAATCTTCTGTGGTCAGATCCCTGTCGCTTTTCGTTGACGACGGGGGCCAAGCTTGCACTAGACCATGCAGGCAACATCTGTACTGCCTCTTCTTTTCCTCTTGACTATTCGCATTAGCTTGGCACAGTGCCCACTTCGCTTCTGCAAGTCGCGCAAGATGATGCTGCAGGATCTCCTCAAAGCTGATCCCGTCTTCGGCAACTAACGGCGCAGTCTGGCCATTGCATGCAAGATAACGCAAAGCCTTAGATGTCGAAATGACATCGCCTGTGATCAAACCGGACTTCAATGCATAGTTGTACTCCTCGCTTGAGTAAAGTTTCGGTTGGGATTCATAGGCAGGGTTCCCAAGTGTATCCCCAATTCGATTTACTTCGGCATGGAAAAGTATTCGGAAGTGACTCTGCAATTTCTTTTCCACTGTTTCTGGATCATGCCTCTGCAGACCATTCAGTGCGATGTAAATTCGAGCGCATGCGTCCATAACATGATTTGTCGAACCGAGGATCATCCGTCGTTCATGTAGGTCCTGGTCTTTAAGACGGAAGGTGTTTAATGTTGAATTAAAGATAGGAATGACTCCACGGAAAAGCATTCGCGTGTTTGTTGCCAGCACTCGAGAGTACGTCCCCCCAAGGATGCTCTTTCCGGGGACACCACATAACTCGCCAAGTTTGTCAATCGTCTCTCGATCCGGACCGCGAAGTTCAACGACGCCTGATTTGGTCGGATCCGTGCCGAATGAAGCATATTCGGCATTGAATGCTCTATCGTCAGTTTCAATACCAACACATTCAATGAATCGCTCCAGACCAGACCCGACAAGGACTAGCATCACGTCTTTGGCCATATTCCTTGCCCTGATTCTGTTGTATATCACTCGCACTTCATCGACAAGTCCTCTGGCGAGTTCTGGGTCTTTTCCAGCCTCATCAATGATGACAACAAGTTCTTCCAGCGTCTCTGTTGCCTGGACATCAGAGTCGGAAAACCTTGCCCACCACCGCTTGGTTTCGCTTGATTCCATTCTCGCTCCAACAAGCTCACCGAATCGTTTGATGGCTGCATCGTTTCTCCCATCGTTGTTACGCCGGGAAACTTCGCTGACAGCATCAAGCAGGTCACTGTACGTGGGGTCGGCATAAGATCGTGGATGCAAAATTCCCAGTGCATGACTGCATGCTGAACTCAAAACGCGGTCCTTTGGCTCATATCCAGAAAGGGCACCACCGTCCCCAAGCTCGCAGTATATAAAGGATGCATCCTTGAACTTTCTCGAGAGGTAACGTTTTGCATACCAGGATTTTCCGGCGCCGCTTTCGCCGGTGATAACTAGAGCTTGGCCCTTTGAATAGTCAAGATTAAAGGCGATGTTGATTGGAGACATGGCACGAACAATGCCTTCCACATACTCTTTGTGCGCAATCCCAACTTCCTTGCTGAGTGTCCCTTCCTTCCCGAGAGCGTCTTGATGCGTTCGGCGCAATTGAATTCTGACCCTCTCGCCGGGGAAAAGCACGCTTCGGACTGTTTGGCAATCCCTCTCAGCGTCGAAACTTTTCCTTTCAATAACAGCGGTATGGTACCTGAGTAGCGTTATGCTGGATTCGTTTAACTTTGAGATTTTTTGTGTAAATGCATCTTTGCTTTCTTTGCCATCCCAAATCAGCTGTCCACCACTATGGACGAGGCTGAAATGAAACGCGGCTTCTTCTCCCGCGCTTTCAGCAAATGCGAACATCGCCAAGTCCTTCATATCCTTTATCGGATCATTCCCGTTGTTGCCGCTAGACCCCGGGCCTATTGTTGTCCCACTACTCCCTCGGTCTCTCGTATCAGAACTGCCCTGCAAGATTTTTCGCAATTTATTGACCAAAGCCGCCTCGATTTGCTCTGATTCGTGTTGCTGCCAATCCGCCTCTTGAAACCACTCCACCACCGTTGATGCCACGGCCACTTCTTCTTCCTTCTTCATGGTCGAAATTTCCTGAGTAGACATTGCACAAGAAGTGCTCTAAAAAGAATGAGTACCACAGCGAAGCACGGAGAGAACACGGCGTGGACGGTCCGGTTACCGTATTATATTAGTTGAAACGAGTGCAAAATAGGGTGTCCGTACCACTCACAGCGAAGACTAATAAAAGCCAGCGAAACTAGAAAGATAATAACTAGATGTATACGTAATATAGATGTGGACCGAGGTGGGATAAACCATTTTGCAATTTGCACATTATTAGAGTACTTCACCTCGCCCCCCTGCCCCCCCACTATTTTACTGTAGAAACAGCTGAGGGGGGCATGCCTTTAATTACGGTTCCACCTATTATCTCTTTTAGTCTTATGTACCGCCCGGCGTCATTCCTGGGCGACCCGGAAAAAATGCTCTTGCACGAATGCATTGCTATAACGGTTTACGGTGGAAGCCATAGTTTACCCACGAACACACAGTTTACTCATGAGTAAACTATAAATCGTTGTTTCCCCATGACTCATGGGGAAACAAGCTGTTTACGCATGACTCGTGGGGAAACAAGCTGTTTACGCACGAGGTCGTTGTTTACCCATGAGTCGTTAAATCTTACTAACAAAATCACATTGTTTCCCCACGAGATCTTTGTTTACTCATGAGTAAACAGTAAAAACCTTGTTTACTCATGAGTAAACACTTAAATCCTTGTTTACTCATGAGTAAACAATCGAATCCTTGTTTACTCATGAGTAAACAAGCCTTTAACTGTTTACTCATGAGTAAACAGTCATGGGTAAATAATGACTGTAAGTGTAAACCGTTTCAACGGTTATTCCCATTTCCGGGTGGCCCTGTTTCGTTGGTGTGAAATATACCGGCACGATGCTTTACATCAAAGGTCGACTTTGTGAGATCCAACACACGGTCCAAGACACAAAAACTGAAGATGCCAGATTCTGGTCCCAGAGCGAGGCACTGACATTTTACCCTAGACAATTACGAATCAAGAGATATCGAACGGCTACGCTGTTTAACCCTCCACGATGGCACTGACAATCTTGCATTCGGGAATAGCACCTCCTCATTACACGGCCTTGTTATTTTCAAGAAAAGAAAAAGGACAACTCAAGTTGTAAAAACTTCATCGGCAGATCCTATGACACCAGACTTCGTGTGGAACAGGCACGATTTCGAAGACCACCTATAAGATCACCTCAATTCCAACTACCTAACCCAACCTAAGAACAGACTGACACACCGAGAGTGAACACCCAAAGCCCATGTCCATCCCTAACCCTAAAAAGATGGACCACAGTGTTTTGGGCTATTATTACGTTCACTCCGGTCCATCCGTCCATTTCATTAGGGATCGGGTTAGGGTTAACCCCTTCCCTCTTGGTTTTAACTCTAACAGCCACCGCGGCAAGTGAGCATCCTCAATGGCGTCTCTCTCAGTCTCCCCCCTAATTTTCCGGGTTAGAAAACCCCCTTAACTCTCCCTTCCTCCCCCCTTCATCCTTCCAACCAAACCATCATCCTCATTTTTTTTACAATCAATGTAAGTTATCGCCATATGTATGAATGTATGAATCGTTGTGTATGCGTGTGTATGAATCGAATCGTTGCGTATGAATCGTTGTGTATGAATTGAATCGTTGTGTATGAATTCTTAATAGCCGTATCGTTTGTTCGTTAGTTGTCTATAATCACCGTCAGCAACTCCAGAATGATGTAAACCACCTAAACTCTCACAAAAAAAAACTCCTTCTCCCAGGTCCGGACCAAGAGCAAAACACTGGTGTTTCACCATCAACAATTACACCCTGCAGACCTAGATCGACTTCCAGAGGTAGATTATTACCTCATATATGGAAAAGAAGTAAGCAGCACAGGAATACCTCACCTCCAGTGCACTGTCTGCTTTAAATCACGGAAGTGGTTATCACAAGTAAAAGCCACCGTAGGCGAAGCCCATTGTACAGTAACACGTTATCTAGGTAGCTCAATAGAGTACTGCAAGAAAGACGACGACTTCGTCGAAATCGGAACACCACCTCCTCTTACTGAGAAAGGCAATGACCTCGAAGCCTTCAAAAACTCTGTCAAAGAAGGCGTGTATGACATGAAAACCCTCCGAGAATTGCATTCGAATGTAGTAGCGAGCCATGAAAAATTCTGTATAGATTACATGAGAGACAACCAACCCAAGAAAAAACCAGACTTCTACTCCCTCTGCCCTTCGCAACAAGATCTGCATAGATGGTTGAAAATAGCACCTTCTAAGCATGAAATAATTTTCATAGTGGAGGATCCAGAAGGCAACCAAGGGAAGACCTGGTTTTCGGAATACTATGAATACCTCAATGACAATGTCCAGCTAATCCTACCAGGCAAGAAAGCAGACATGGCCTACTTGGTTGAAGAAGACAAGAAAGTATTCCTAATAGACTGCCCCAGGAGCAAACAAGGAGAATTCATTCAATATGATTTCTTAGAAGAATTAAAGAATGGGGCAGTTAACAGTCCCAAATTCCATTCAATTATTAAAAGGTTCACCACACCCTATGTTGTGGCGTTCATGAATGTCCAAGCTATCAAACGACAGATACCTGATCTTCCACCTATAATCTAAAAATTATTCAATAGCAGGAAAGATGAATGGAACTGCTACAGGAAGTAGCTTCCTTTTAAAAATATTTTTTACTATTTTTTAATATTTAATAAATTCCAAGATAGACTTAGTCTGAATAGATTAGCCGCCTTTGTAACCCCCTCCTTGATAGGCTTAGTAACCCTATTTCCGTCAGAGTACCCGAAGGCCCTTAAAGTCTTTTCCCTTCCATCGAGAAACACATCATTGTCGATGTATCTATGACTTCCCACCCAAACAACCTTCATCAGTAGACTCAGAAGACTGGTGGATTTATGTCCTACCAACTCCAATTCAGTTTTTGCAATTCACCTAACGTAAACGAGATGGAAGAGGCTTAACTTCGACCTCGTAATCAAGAAAAAAATCCCTTAGTTGCCCCTCAGTCACAGGATCCTTACAACAAACAGTCACTAATAACCCCGCCTTCCCGTTTCCAATAACCTACATAATCATACTCAGTAAACCCATATGAGTTCTCCATATGAATAAGTTTCTTTACCGAGTTGTAAAAGAGTGTAGCATCCCGTCTAGACTTCAATTTAACGACAAACCGCGTCTTATCCTCCATGTTAAGTCCTTAATAAATTATGACCAATAAACGCGACTTCGCCAAGGCCTCCGCCCAAAGTTGTTATAGCCGCGATTGTAGTACCCACCCCCACTGTAGTACCCCCGACCAAAGTTGTTATACCTGCGACCAAAGGTATAATCAGGTCCAGGTGGTAGGTCAGATCCAGATGGTCCCCACTCTGATTGTATTGAGGCGGTGCACTCCATTGCTTTGCATCACCTTCCGATGCCTCTTCATCAGAAAAACTCTCTGAATCTCCAGACTCCTCCGAAGTCTTTTTAGGCTGTAATTTATCCAGCTTAGCCTTTTTCGAAGGACGTTCCTTGCTTTTACCCTTATCTAATCTAACAAAAGTAGTCCCCTCCTCCGAAGTCCTCTTGGTATGCTTAGGAACCACCTCCTCTCCATCAAGTGTAGCCATCACCTTCTTCATTTTAAAAAGCGTCCATACTTGGAACATTTTGAAGTGGGTTTTCATTTTTAATGTCGTTGTTTTTAACAAAATAAATAAATAAAGGAAAATCAAGAGTGTAACCCCACCTTAAAAGGTCACTTAGGAATTTATGGATGAATGAACCCAACCAACTCCGACCCCTCTGTCGCATTTTTCCTCGACAACTATGTTTATCATAACTTGTCTTTATACAACAGTTAACGATATGATGGCGGCCATGGCGTTCTTGAAACGCGATACCGTAACTGAAGGCTTCCTCACCTACAGTCACACACTGAATAGAATGAATCTATTCTGCCTTGCCGATGAAGAAATCGATGATGTAAAATCCCTTTTCCCTGACTACAGAGTCATTGAATTAGACGACGATGCCATAGAACTCGATCAACCCATCACCTTCGAAGCGCTAATGCTAGTAAGTATGGCAGGTGCTGACCTTATCCAAACAAAAAATCTAAAGACCACCCGAAGCCGGTTAATCGAACGATTGAATCTAAATTTACCAGCACAGACAACCTTCGTTCAACCGCATTAATCTTTCAGATCCTAGATAACAATACTAACCCAGGACGACCCCGTAGTCATCGACGAGGATTAAGATAGCTTTAAACCCAATGAGGAATTAAATCTCGCTCGACTAGTGACTAGCAAGTAGCTTCCGGATACTCGGCACACCTCGGGATGACGTACTTCACCGGTAAACACGTACTTCACCGGTAAACACAAGATCCAACCTTAAATACCAATCACAGTTGCCGATTTAGATGGAAATTAAGGTCTATCTCATCCATGCATGATCACTTAGGCGAGAGCACGTGCAACGACCTCCACCTCTGCCCCCCTCTTGCCTCCACCTAGGCCATGGAGTCCTCGGTGCCCTCATAGGCAAAAATGATGTTGATAATCTGGAAAGATGCAAAAAACCACTCGATGGTTTCGCGGCGGCCTTGCATATGGGTGATCCCTAAGTACAGCTGTGAATAAATATAGCTCTAAGTACCATACCTATCATGTGACATTTTAAATGAAGTCTACCCCCGAGTAGATTATGAACTTACTGCACTCGGCATGAACTTCTCCAAAAGAACCCTTGGGTCTTGGCTGGTGACGTAGGGTCGAAGTGCTTCCACCTTCCACGAGCACGATAGGCGCGACAGGCAATGAGTACAAACAACAACAGCAGAACGTTCGAACCCTAAGCGCAACAACAACCATCATGTCTTCATCTGTTTGGGTGCAGCTCTGGTATGAGGGAAAGAATCAACCGTAGGGCCGTTCCGTTCCAGTCTACGAATCTGATCTTGCAGCCGGTCGAGAGTGGATCATTGCTTCAGTGATAGAGGCCGCTAAAAAGCAGCTTGAGCTGGATGCTGCGTTGCATCTAATATTTGCCTACCCCCCAGGAATCACAGGAACCACACCACCTTTCTCTGAAAACAAGGCCATTGATCCTGGTGACCCTGTGCCCACTGGCAGCACTGCCTCCAGGCATCCCTTGGTTGTGGTGGCACCCGCTCAGAAGCAGCAGCAAGCAAATCGTAAGAAGTGTTTCAATTCTTATTCCACAACAATCAATTGTAACATTTGTCCTGCTTCCCCCCCTGCTTTTTTTGCTCTCGCCGTTTCCCTTTGACCTGCAGAGAAAATTGACTACGTGTATGCTTATGTGCAGAAAAAGGAGCAGGAAGAGGCCACTTTACAACTGTCGAAACCTAGATTGTCACGATACCAAAGAGCTGTCCAAGACATTGGAGTTAGAATCGACGCTCCAGAGTGGGAAAAGGATCATCTCGTGAACGAGTTCAACACTCTAGATTCGAGGATGGCCGCTTTCACTTGCGATCCTGGAAAGGAGGATTGCGGGCGAACCACAGTCTATACCTTGCCTATATCAGGAACAACAAAAACATCAGCCTCCCTCGCCACAGCAAGCTTTTTGATGGAGCTGAGGTGGCCGAACTGTTGTCCACTGATATTGCATCATTTGAAGTCAAAACAAAAGGCAATATTGATGTTGTGGTGGCACATGAGCGTCACCAAGGAACAAGTACAACCAGGCACAACATGTTGGCTGGTATTGAACTCAACAGGCAAGACAAGAAGAGTCATGGAGAGATCCATCGGCAGGTTGTCCTACAGCATTTGTCAGCTTCTTTTCTGAATGAAGACACTAGTATCCTGGCAATCATGACAGATCTCGGGCCAAGGTGGCACTTTTTTTGGTTCAGCGAGGAGAAGAATCGGCTAATGGCATATCAAGCACAGTCTAAGGGCGAAGCAAACTATCCTATTCGTCACATGATGGGAAGCAGTGGTTCAGCCTCGGCCCCAATCTCAGCGCCCACCGACTTTCTGAATCGTGCAACCTGGAATAAAATGTTCCCCCTGCGCGAAGATATTGCATTCATGGAAGAGGCGGGAGAGGATAACGGCCCTGACGAGGGAGGAGGCCAGGATTCCCGCGGAAAGTCTGGCAGCTCCAGGAGGGGGGGGCTGTCTGGTGTTCGAGCACAACAAAACCGCCAATCTACAGCTGGAGGCAACAGTAATATAGCGGGAAGTGCAAATGTTATGGCGAATAGCTTGGATTTTATGGATGACGAGGAAGAAAGGGAAGCGAGATTCAATGACGTCCTCGAATGTATAGTCCCTCAATTGGGAGTGTTTCCTCACCGCGAGCTGGGACATGATCACTATGCAGAAGGTCCACCGAGTCACATTGGAGTTTCGTAGTGGCAGCACGCAAATCCCACTTTGTGCCGTGTCCTACAGAGTAATTTGTTTCTCCGGCTTGGCTTGCTGCCAGCACAGTCATTGTCCAGTGGTGCTCTTGGTCTCTCAATCAAAGAGTTGCGCCTCATAAAGCTGTTTTAGGACAACAACCAAGGCTCTAACCCAATTCTTAATGGTGGACCGAGGTGGGAGTTTGCCATTATTACGTTCACTCCGGTCCATCCGTCCATTTCATTAGGGATCGGGTTAGGTTTAACCCCTCCCTCTTGGTTTTAACCCTAGCAGCCACCGCGGCGAGTGATCGTCCTCAATGGCGTCTCTCTCAGTCTTCCCCCCTAACTTTCCGGGTTAGAAAACCCCCTAAATCCCCCTTCCTCCTTCCAGCCAACCCATCATCCTCATTTTTTTACAATCGATTTAAGTTATCGTCATGTGTATGCGTGTACTTCACCGGTAAGAACAAGACTTCACCGGTAAGCACAAGATCCAACAGCAACGCCTGTTGTCACCCCTTAAATACGAATCACAGTTGCCGATTTAGATGGTAAATAAAGTCCATCTCATCCATGTGCACTTAGGCGAGAGCACGTGCAACGACCTCCACCTCGGCCCCCCTCTTCACTCCGCGGAGGCCACGGAGTCCTCGGTGCCCTCATAGGCGAAAAGTATGTTGATAATCTGGAAGAGTGATGGCTTGTGATGCACGAAAGTGCTCAAGAACAGCAATCAGAGCGGAACTCGGCAACGCGACGAGGAGGTTCCAGCGCGAAGAGGGACTGACACAAAAAGTCAATTAACGCTGAAACATGACCGAGCCCTCCGCATTCGCAAAAATCTCCCTTGGAGCTAAGATACAAAAGCTTTTTTCAGCCGGTGCTGTACAAGCAATGCCACTGAGAAACACTAGTAATGTAGTAATCATCATAGCACCAGTTACATGTATTATCAGGGGGTTAGAGTTTAGAGTAAGAAGGTTATCTATGGAAGCCAGCGAGAGCTTTGCATCTCCTATTTCTTTACCTGAGGAGATAGAACACTGTGGTTTCCTGGAAAAACCATTTAATCTTATGTAAAAGGGAGACGTATTGTGTTCCTGGGGTGCTGCGATGTGGGACCTGGGACCTGGGGACTGGTGGGCTGAAATTTCAAACCCCCTTCACTCGAGGAACCGGTTGAAGCGACACTGCAGAGATCGGCATATGAGGATCCGATGTTACAGCAGGACTTGATCTCGCATTCCAGAAGAGTCCGGCATCAAAGATCCAAGGGATTCCCTCCGCTCCCTTTTGTCTCACAAATTACGAAGCCAAACTGCAAAAAGCAAAAATTCAACACCGCCAATCAACCTAATAAAATCAAGATGCGAGGATCTAGATTCCAAGAGCTGTTGACTGTCAACAGCGCCTCTGTTGGAAGCAAAAAGTCCCGACGAACCTTCTACGACAGAGCCATTCCAGCCTCCCTGAACTTTGTAAAGGCAGCACCCAAGCCTACCGCCACTAGCAACAAGAGTAGATCTTCTAGCAACAAGGCAGGACCACGACAACGACAACAGCAACAACCAGAATCCAGACGCAGCAGTGACTTGGTAACCCATCAAGAAAAGAATGCTTACTCCCAACAGCACAGACGTGGCACTGCAGCTGGCGAAAGAATGTCGGAAAGGACTGCGGCGGCACTCTCTGTGGACGAACTGGAAGCAGCCCTAGAAGACATCTTGGCAGATTATGAAGACTAAGCAAAACCCAAAGCAAAACGAGTCAAGCATACCAACAGAAGACTCTTCCAGTAGCCAGATTTCCAGCTTCACTATCGTAGGCTACTTGACTAGGACCACTATTATATAAAACACCAAATTCGACTTCATCTGTTTCTTTTTCTCTGGCTAGAGGTACATGTTACAGCAGCTGTGCACACGAAAAGCAGCTCTCAGCTACACAGCAAGTGTAGGAACTTGGGAGCGGTTGGCAACGCATCCAGACCTCCATGCCTGCAACTGTCCCCCCACTCACACAGCCCATGTCCCTTCGCCCACAACTGCTGTTTGTCCAGCCGGAAGCCCATCCAACAAAGCTTTCCAGCGCTGCCCTCAAGCAATCCCGGTCTCTCTGTGGTAACGACTGAGCGACTCGTAGCGTTGGTTAGCTAGCTACCCGGTTTTCTGGCTCTACATTGCTCTTCTTGTTCAGGTTTGGCGGCGCTGGGTGGTTTGCCTTCAGCCTGCCTCGTGAAAGAGACTCGGAGGGTACGGCTCCCTGCTGTGCGGACATACAATGCAAAGAGCTGGTGGCTGGCTGTGTCGTCTGCACGGAAAATAGAATCCAAAGATGCTGCTGGACTGCGACCGGAGGGGAAGTGATGCCGGTTAGGTTAGGTTAGGTGGCCTGCCAACCCAACTGCACCAAAACCTGGCTCTGTAGGATCCCTTCGTCCAGCTCCAGTACCTGGCTCTCCGGACCAGGACCAGGAGGCATTCCACACATCATGTCATGGTTGGAGAGTGGTTTGACTACTGTGGAATATGGTAGGTTTTTGATCAATGGAATGATTGCTTGATTCCTAGCTAGCTATTAATAGTGACTTGCATCTAATGCACAATCCCAGGTTCCAAGGAGAGGGTGACTTGGACATCCATGCCTGTGCTACTAGTACTATTTGCCATGATTACAGCTGCGTAGAAACTGCTGCTATTCATTCATTTGGGCAATGGCACTATTGAATAATACTCTTGATCAATCAATTAATTCTCATGCCAAGATTGCACTCAGGATAGAGCAATGCAGTTTCGTTTTTTGGTGGATATCTCATCTTGCATACCGTACAGCCACCAGTGACCAGTGACAAGACTTGGTGCTGTGGCATTGTACTCTCCAGTGTTTCCAACATTACCTTGAGTACTGTATCATGAATGACATGGTTAGCTTCGACACTGCAGCAGTTGGTTTGTTGGGCGACTTTCACGGCCACATACATGCTGGCTCGTGATGGAGTCGATTCACTGATTTGCATCATGACAGACAGCAATGCCATCATGACACGACAGCAATGCCACGGGACAGGACACAGGAGAGTGGCATGTGCGTGATGATGAATGCACCCATGCTCTTCCAAACTAGACTAGCAGGGCTGCCCCAGTGCCCTCCACCAAGTGTGTTGTTTTTCCCAACCTGTCTGACTGACAAGGAGACACACCACACCGGCTATGCTATGCAAGGGTATCACTGAGGATGCCACAAAGGCTGCACTGCATGTGCCCGCCCCCTTGGAGAAGTAAGTAAGCCAATTGTGTTTGTTTCTGATGTTACTGCCGCTCTTTTTAAAAATTTAATGATGTCGATCAAGCTGCCAGAAGTGGGGCCCAATAGGTCAATAGGATGGCAAGCAAACAAGCAAGCATACTTACTTTCCGTACCGTCCTCACTGATAATATTTACTAGTAATAAAAAGTCTCACACAACAACAATGCTAAAATAAATAATAGAAACAGAGAACAAATGATCCTGCTGGGAAGAAAAGAATCGAATGATCAATCGAATCGTATCAATCCAATGACGTTACGTTATTAGCTTGGTGAAGAACGAGATCCAACGACAGTTGGTTTGTGAAAAGTGTCAGCTTCCCCTTGATGTGGTGAAGAAGAAGAAAAGACGATGGCAGACGACGAAAGAAATACAGTTGATTTTGTGAAGAACACGAGCTCGGCAAACGAAGGGTAGCGTGATTTGTCCCTCACAAATATTCACTTAGGCTAAGTGATTGAATTTTCACTTAGGCTAAGTGATTCAATTTGATTTACTTAGGCTAAGTGAACCACTTAGCCTAAGTGAAATTCAGTCTTATTTGATTTACCAGGTACTCAGTCACATTTGATTCACTTAGCCTAAGTGAATCACTTAGCCTAAGTGATTCACTTAGCCTAAGTGATGCTTTTCGTGGCAGCTTCTCTCAGCTCATAATCTGTCAGATTTCATTTTTTCAAAGGCACAGGGAAAACTCTGGCTATGAGATATGTCAATATAAAAACTGTTAAGGATGGAAACAAATCACGACCATGAGCTTCCACTCTTACAAGGACAGGCCAATTGTGCATCCAACAATACCAACGCTACCATTCTACAATTCTTTGAAACAAGCAATGGAGACTGTCCCAGATGAACTTCCAACTATCATTCAACAAAGATTTGATTTGATAATCCTTGGTGATGACAAAGAATTGCGGTACTCTGATGAATTGGATGGTTTGACTGATCTTCCCACACTGGAGCAAGAAACCAGACATTACAACACGGTATATGATTCTCAATTTTCTTTTTGCTGCGTCGTGATTGCTTGGTGGAATTTGAAACAGCGGCAATACCAGTAGACACGTCTTTGTGGTATCTAAAATGAGCACATACAAATTTGATGTTGTGACGTTTTTTCTCATACCCTTTCATCACTATAAGGAATCCTTGCTCACGACATGCTTTGACAAAATGTGGGCCAAGCATAGTTTCGCGCAATATGCTTGAGTTCTGGTTGAATTCTTTGGGCAGCCAATAGACTGTGCTGTCGTCTGGTTTTTTTGGATTATTCACACCATAGCCAAGGGTGGAAGCCAGATTAATAGTATGAGTGGTGTCATCCTCCAGGGAAGTTGCAACCTGAATTCGAATCTCTGTTGTAACCCAATTAAACTCTTTCTTGTGAAGCTCTTTGAGCAGTTCACATGAAGCTGAAAGTGGGGGCATGATGGGTGATAGTTGTGTCTCTCCTTGTGGCTGTGTGTGTGCTTGTTGCAGGGACTTGTTGTGTTGTGCTGTTGAGGAGACTTGAGACTTGTGCTGTTGAGGAGCCTCGGAGAGCATCACTTAGCCTAAGTGAAACACTTAGCCTAAGTGAGTTGATTAGTATGGCTTAGCCTAAGTGTTTCGCTTGGCCTAAGTGAGTTGCTTAGTATGGCTTAGCCTAAGTGTATTGCTTAGCCTAAGTGTTTCGCTTAGCCTAAGTGTATTGCTTAGGCTAAGTGTTTTACTTAGCCTAAGTGGATTTTCGAGCACTTAGCCTAAGTGAAAATTTGTGAGGGACAAATCACGCTACCCAAGTTACAGTACTGCATGGGAGCGGTCATTTTTGAGATCCGTTGCGTAGAAACTGTACTGAAAATCCTGTTTACCATTTCTTTACTGCCCTAATTCCGATTTGTCTAAGTATCTTTTTTCCATGCCTGTAGTTCACAGATTGTTAAGTAATTTGATGGAATTGACATTTTTTGATCGTGGCTCATATGCCCCTCCCGCAAGCTGGAGCATTCGAAAAGATCCTTATGCCCTGATGCAATCGAACAGCTTGAGCTCTCTCTCTTTTTTCGGCAACGTGTCCTTTGGGCTGCACCATGGCGGCCTTCGGCTGTCCTTGACGGCAACCTTTGGCGAGGAACAAGAAACAAGAGGTCCCATGGGATGATTCCTATCTCTAGCTAGAAACGCAAGGATATCGTTTGATGGCTTCTTAATTAATGATAAGTTTAGCTAAGCGTTGTAAAAAGTCTCTAAAAATTGACTGCATTCTTCCTTTTTTTCCACAGAATGCATGATCTCTTGATTTTTATAGGAACATCATCATCATTCGTTTGTTTTGTTTATTGCTGTTCACTTCGTCCCGGCCGCCTGGCCAATTGTGTCGTCAAACTGCCCCGCGAGCGACGCTTTTCTCGCAATGCCACGGCGGCGGTTGCCAATCCATTAGTGCTGGATTTGCGCAAACTGGCACGTCGCGAAGCACTCCCACTACTGGCGGCACCGACACCTCGAACATATCCCGATCCCGAGCGCGCTGGCAATTTGCGTCCCACGCGGCCAGTGCCTGTGGGTGTAGCTGGTGCATTCTCTCCCAAATGATTGCTAAAGGAATCTTCGTGATGACTGCTGCTGAAATCTTGACTGCTGCCCTGGCATGCTGTGCCACTACTGCCCGCACTGTTGAAACTGCTGTTGTTGAACGAGTCCGACATGGCGCGCAATGCCATGGAACCACCGCGAGATCCCGATGACACAGACGTTGTGCGCGTCACACAACTGCGATCTTGTTGACACGAACTCATGAGTTCTTCCAAATCCATCTCCACATCATCATCTTCTTCTTCTTCGGTTTGCTCGACGGCTGAAGACTCGGCCGAAGCGGCGGCTGCGCCACACGTGGACGCCGTGGAGTCAATTTCGGCGGCATTCTTCTTCTTGCCGCGTCGACGAGTTTGCAGCATGACGGGATCTTCCATGCCCAAATCAGATACTTGACGTCGGATGATTGTAGGAGGACTGTCGCCGTCCAAAGAGGTTCGTACTTCGTGTTCACACATGGTTGCTTTGTTTGGTTAGTTTATAACTTCAGCTTTGTGGCTGTTGGTTTGTTTGTTCTGGTTTTGAAGGGCGGTTGCGAAAATTGTGGGCTACCTTCGTCGCCCTTCCAACCAGAGTTCGTTGCCGAGCACCACCGGTCAAAAACAAATGTGAGAGCTCGGGCAGAGGTGAACATACCTATTACACTAATTACACAGTATTAAATACTGTGAAGCATTGTGATGACTGCTTGCACTGCAGCCCTTAAACCGTCCTGTGTCTTACGTTAAATCAATTGGATGACTTGATAAAGAGACTTAAACCCCTCGCACATTTAACAGAAGAAGGGTTAAATACCTTTGTAATTAAGGCATCCAGATGCTTTGGATTGCCCATCCCAGCGGCCATATTCTTTCGAATTGCAACTCACTCACACAGACTTGTTGCCAGTAAGGAAGTATTTAACCCATGGTCATCCAGGATTCGATGGTGTCGCAAGTTCAATCATGGATCTTGACAGTCTTGACAGTCTCCGTTGGAGTTCCTTTCGTTCAATCGCGGTTGCGCCCAGAGCACGGTAACGGTTACCTTGAGTGAGTCCTTCCTCTCACAAGAGCGGCCCCGCTGCACTTCGTTTAGTTAGAGCGGATCCAAAAAAATTACAAAAATCTCCATTCCCACTTCGCCATCACCCGTGTCATTGCTCCACTTGCTCAATCTTGCTGCATGCGACGTCGGAGTTGAAACTGGTTTCTTGCAAGCAAGTGCTGTGGGAATGGAGCTGCTGGAGCGTGGGAGACGAACTGAACCGGTACCGTACAACAACCGACTTAACTAGATTGTTACTGTAAGGGCGAAAGCGGTAGAAGGCAGTAATGTGATTGGCTAATCGACCTATGACATCAGCAAATACATCATCAATATTTAACGTACCAATTATAAATATTTACAGGGCAAGTGAGCTATCAAGTATGTATTTTCTTGTTTCGCGAAAACCGAAAGAAGGATTCCGACGCGATGGACGCGATCGGCAATCGACAATGACATGCTGCCGCTCGCCCTCAACTCGACAGTCATTATCTCCACCAAAACAAAGAAGAAGCAGCAGCAAAGAAGAAGCAGCAGCAATGAATCCACCACCACCAACAACAACAACAGCAGCAGCTACCACTCACAATGGAGGAATGGGCTGCCAAAGTCAACAGAGAAACTCGCAACAGAAGAGAGCATATCAACTCGCCTCCAACAACAACAGATCCAAGAGAGCCAGAGAAGAAGGACCACAAACAACACTGGGAGGAGAGGTAGCAGAAGTCTTTGATCCACTCAAGAACTGTGTCATCTGTAAGGCCAGACATCTTGGTCTCAGAGTCCCCAAGAGATCACACTCTGTCTTCTGTATTAAGAATACAATAACAAAAGGACAAGGACCGTTGAATGCGCTGACCATGGAGACAATCAAAGAAACCAGAAGACTCACCAGACAATTCAGTGCTCCTCTACCACTGAATGAGAGAGGAAGCTGGAGGCATTCCACAAGAGAAAATGGAGAAGCTTTCTTTGCTGCTAGAACCAACACAGCCCAACCAAAGCAGAGCCGGCAACAGCAACAAAAGGCAGCAATGGCCACTCCAGTAGCTCTCTGTCGAAAGGTAACCACTCTTGTAAAGGATTCTGCCTTTGTGGAACAGCACAAGACCAAAGGAGCACCACTGGCAATGCTAGCAATGGCAGAAGCAGTGTCAGAGTCCATTATCAGGCCAAGAAATCCACAACTGTTCAGCCACCATTTTGAA